CACGCCTGGCGAGCAGCACCGCGAGATGACCGTGAAGGTCAACAGCTGCACGGCGCGAAACTCTGCTCGTAAGTCGGCGTGGTGCTCCTCCGGCGTCGCCACGGTCCCTCGGGCGAAGCCGATCAGCCCAGCCATCTCCAGCTGGGGCTCGATAGCTTCCTTCCAGGTGAGAATGTCTGGTCGACCAACGAGCGGCGGGGTGACCAGGATCCTGTCCGGCGTGAACTTGAAGTAGCCGTAGCTCGGTGCAATCCCGCCCGCCGTCACCTGGGTCGCCGACATCGGCGACAAACCACTTCGTCGTCCTCCGACGTCGCCCTGCGAAGGGCCTGCAGCCGCCGACGACTGCACCCCTCGCGCCTGAACGCCGCCGACTTCATCGGCGTGAATCACACCACGCTGCCTCGACGTGCCTCCCGCACTGCTGCCGACTTGGCCACCTCCGGCGTTGACGCCCACGTCGACGCCGCCTTCGTTGATCACCGGTCGAGGAGAAGTTGGTCGAGAAGAGGGATGTTCCGTCGCCCACATGGAGCGGAGTCCAGCCTCGACGACCGCCCAGGGTATCGCCCCATACTCCTGGGCCTCATGGCGTCTCCTTGCATCCTCCAGCCGTCCCTCTAGGGTGTCCATCAGCTTGGTGTCACCTACGCGCACGCTAGGGACCTGTACGGCTGCCAGCCTACGAGCAACTTAGGTAAGTGACCTCTACGTCGACCTGACTGAAAGGTAAGTCGTGTGCCGTCCACGCTCACCGCACCATGCGGAGATAACTGCTGCAACGGGAGCTAGACTACGGGCTAGGCACGGGTGCTCGTGTGATCTCTGCCTTCGTTCACTTAGTCGTTTCCTTGTGTTCACGCTGCTTGCTAGTTCACGGGGAGAAATGGCAAGAGTTTCACTAGGAAAACATGACAATAATAATCCAAATCAGTTGGCATGGCAAGACTACATCAGAGCTAGCATTCAGGTCGGTCGACTGCCAGCACAGCATGGTCGACCGCGTTCCAGCACGACTTGGTCGACCGCGCTCCAGCAGTGCAAAGTCGACGGCGTGCCAACGCTGCAGGTTGACGGCGTGCCAGCATTGCTCTCGCAGAACAGCAGCGCACCTACTTCGCAGGTGCTCGTAGATGATTGGCGGGCTAAGCCTCGTCACCTGAACAGCGCACGCACCAAGTCATCCTCGTGCTGACAGCTCCACCTGATCTGCCACGTCGACCTCGGGAACCTGGTCGACTTGTTAACCACGTCGACCAGCTGCTCCCGTACATGCCCGTCGACCTCCCAAGTCGGTGACATTGCAAGTCGGCGCCGACTTCCGGGTCGACGTGCCACATCGCCGACCACCAAGTTGGCGGCATTGCAGTGGCCCCGTGCAAGTCGACCAACCCCGTCGACCAGCTCGCCCAAGTCGGCGTCGCCCACTGCAACAAGTCGGCTGTACCTCCTGTACACCCAACCACGAAGTCGGCTCCGCCCAAACGAGGACGGGGCCAACAACAACTCCCGTTGACATGTTTCTGCCCTCCCCTCCCACCTCCATTCCCCATAGATTTTCAGGGTTCGTCGGGCGTGTGAGGGAGTGCTGGAGCTGCGCGAGGTGACCTTTGCGTACCCCTCGCGCCCGGACGTGCCCATCTTCCAGCGCTTCAGCCTCGCCACATCCTCGCTGGCCGACGTAAGTGCGCTCGCGCCTCTCCTTCGTCCGTCTCTCTTCCGCCATCTGTCTCTCCCTCTTACCCCTGCTCCTCAAACTGCTTTCCGTTCCCCCTTACCCTCCGTTTCCGCCTCCCGTGCCCCGAGCTCTCACTCCCATCCTTGCCGCTCTCTTCCTTCCTTGCTCTCCCCCTTCAGCCGCAGGGCTACGAGACGCAGGTGGGGGAGCGAGGCTCGCAGCTGTCGGGGGGGGGGGAAGAAGCAGCGCGTGGCGATTGGGCGCGCGATTTTGCGGAATCTGAGGGTGTTGCTTCTGGACGAGTCGACGTCAGCGTTGGACGGAGAGCGAGCAGGCGTTGCAGGCGGCGCTCGATGCACTCATGGGCTTTCGCACCACGCTCCATTCACGCCCACCGCCTCTCCACCGTGCGCTGCGCGCACTGCATCGCCGTTCTGCAGCGGGAGCACGTCGAGCAGACCGGCTCGCTCGAGGATCTATTCACCACGGCCTTTGGCGTGTGAGGGAGCGGTGGAGCTGCGCATGGTGAGTAAACGGCGTAAGTGTCACGATCTTTTGCATATGGATCTGTCACACCGTCGCTCGTTTTATTCTTCGACCTGTTCACGTTGTTGCCTTTTTCTTTTTCTCACGTGTCACGATCTTTTGCTGTTGTCATGATTGCAGGTTCCTTAATGTTCGGCGTTTATTATGCAGGCACCAAACCGTTCCAATATTTAAGTTGTTGATTTTGTTAGGTTCCGTCCGACCCTCTGGGCTTTATACTTCTTAACTAGGCTAAAATTTAGAGCGTGTTAGCTATTTGTCCATATGGACGTGCGGTTGTGCACACGTACGGTTGTTATGTACGTTTTGAATAATAAAGCATATTGCAAAACGCCAATGGACGTCCCGGTTGTGCTGTTCTGAATTTTTGACGTGCGAACATGCTGTGTTTCATGTGCGACATGCGGTCGCTAGTCAAAATCGCTAGCCAATCAAATTACGTTCTGGCACACCCATCACTGACATTTGATTGGTCCATCTCGGCCAATCTCCAACATGTACGCCTGGCAAAATATCTGGAAAGATGTAACGCCACTTGGCCACATGGCATGGGAAACAGAAAAGTGACGAGAACATCACTTCACCAGGCACATTTCTGGGACTCTCTGTACGAAATTTCGATACTTTAACGTGACATTTCCGTGACTTCAATTCTTGGCACTTCCAACCATGACTTTTCCGTAACGCAAAAATGTCACGGAAAAGTCACGGAAAAGTCACATTTCTGTGACTTTTCACACTTGGCTTTTTCGCGATGAACATGCGCATGCGCGGGTACTACGACGATCGCACGATCGGCGCGTCGATCCTGAAGGGCGGAAAGGCGGTGCGCACGTGGATCAAGGATCTGGGAATTCTATGGATCGACGCGGCGGGCGTGAAGCACTCGTTCCGCATGGCGGCGCGCGACGGCAAGGAGATGGCGCGCGGCGCGGGGTACATGGGGGAGATGGAGTTTGACGGCAAGGCGCTGCCACTGCTGTCCGTGGGCAGCAAATATACGCTGCCCGGCGGGCTGACGCTGGCGTTCACGGGGTACGAGAAGCAGGGTGGCGGGTTCTTCGACGTGGACGCGTACTCGCTGGAGGTGGACGGGCTGATCAAGCTGGACGTGAAGCTGCGGCCCGCGCACCCGCTGCTGCAGACGGACGCGGACGCGCAGACGCACATCAACCTGCACTTCGCCAACGTGGAGCGCACCCCCGCCATGCACGGCATCATGGGGCAGACGTACCGCGAGGGCCGGCGGAAACGCGCGTTGGAGTACACGTCGCTGTCGGTGCTGCTGCGGCGGTCGTTCGCGGCGGACGGCGTGGAGGGCCGAGGGTACCTGGACGGCGAGGTGAAGGACTACCGAACGTCCAGCGTCATGTCCGCCGACTGCCTCTACACCGCGTTCGACGGCCACACGCTACCACCCATCAACGAGGCCAACGGCGTGCTCGTGGTGTGATTCCTGGGGTATTTAGTAGGATTTAATATATGGATGGACGTTTGGAGTGCTTGATCGCTGTGGTGTTCAGTCCTAAGTTCCTTTTTTTCACGGCCCCAGGGTGGGAGCCTTTCAGTGTTGCGTTGGTCGTCAATAATGACTGTACGTCAAGATATAGTTTTGTGATAATTCCTTACCCCAACCCAGGAAACTCAAAGTTTGACTGAATTGTGTCAGTTTTGGACATTGGCTGATTTTCTCTCGACGCTAACGTGCTTAGACCTTGTAGGCAATGTCGTAGACACAACGCGTTATCTCCATTATGTGTGAGGTCGCGTAACCTGATTCAAGTATGTATGATCATCCAGTCGTCTTGCTTCTCGATGGCGGAAGCAGTAGGATTTTTGTGGTCTGATTAGAAGGCGTCTACCCTGTTGGCCTCGTTATCAATTCCTACTCATCATTGGGCCTCTCAGCTCAGTACCATTGCGCTTTGGCTGGATGACCACGGTGGGATGGGATGGTTTCGAGCAGTGGCGGTGGCGGCGCTGATAGGCGAATCGCCGCCACGAGCATCTCAGACAGGAGGGGACGAAGTGATATGTGATGGGATGGTAGGTTGGGACTGGTTGGGATGGGTTGACGTGGGATCGATTGGATGTGAGCGGAGTTGCTCGTCATCAGGTCTGTCAACTCATTGACTCGCGAATTGACAATTACGGCTGTCACGACGACAAATGAGCAACCCCGCCCCCGCACCGCACCGCACCGCACCCGACCAGGGGTTGTTGGCTTGTTTCTTGGTCAGTGCTTGGTTGTTTTTTTGTCTGCTGCCAGGCTGGTTGAGGTTGATGTGTGAAATGAAATGAAAATGAAATGCTTCGACTGGAGCATCCCCTCTCCAACCTCTAGCTTTTAGTGATTTCCTTCAAATATAGGTTCTGATTCTAGGCCCAGCCACCTGGGCAGCCCCGGAGGTATATTCAACGGTTGGGATTAACCCGGCCCTAATTTGGTTACCTCCCTGCTGTTGTTCGGCCCCAATGTGATTTTTTCCCAACCCACAAGCCCATGTCGTCCTACACCCCAACCAGGTGTCCACGCTCACATTCGTAGGCAGAATGTGCTTATATGGGAAGGTGGGTTTACATTCCCTCTCCATAGCAGCAGTTGACAAGCACAACTTACGGTAGCAAGACATATTCTGAAGGTAACTTAGGGAATACACCATTGACATCCTTCCCCACAACCAGTCTATATTGGGAACACACAATCACACAATCTTCGTAAGTCTCGATGGGCACTCTTTGATGATCGAGAAGATGAGTCTTGCTTCCGAAGTCACTACCAACACACCACCAGTCCGCTGCAGCGCTGCTGCAGCCCAACTCCACCACACCCCACACCTAGACACCTACAAAAGATCACATGTGCAAAATATCCGTGCTGCCATCACTCTGGTTAGGGGTCAGCAGCAGCACAAACTTACCTACCACCAGGGCCTACCCGTAACCTGACTTGTTGAATTGCTGCTGCCGTCGCCAATCCACAGGAGTATCAGCAACACCTCTACCATCAAAACAAGCACTGGTACCACTACCACTACCACTGATAACCACCACCACCGCCACCAGCACTAGCACCAGCAGCACCAGCAGCGTCAGCAGCAGCAGCAGCAGCACTAGCACAACCACCACCAGCAGTAGCACCGGCAGCAGCAGCACCACCACCACCAGCGCCAGCACTGGAGCTGCTGCTACCAGCAGCACCTGCCTTCCCTCCCTCTTTCTTCGCCCTAGCAGCAGCCCTAGCTCGGCGCCTCTTCTCTCTCTCCCTCCGCTTCCTCTCCTTCAGGTCAACCCACTTGTACTCCTCTGGAATGACAAAAGGATCAACAGCCCAATTATCCTCTTTCTCTCCTGCCCCCCCTCCTCCTCCTCCTCCTCCTCCTCCTGCTCCTGCTGATGATGAAGCCCCTTTTTCCCCAGTGCCCTCCCCGCCACTGCTCCCCCCCTCTCCCCCACCCTTCCTCCTAGCCCATCCAAACCACGACCTCTTCCCTCCTTTTCTCCCACCCTCTCCTCCCCCTCCTCCTGCTCCTCCTCCTGATCCACCCCCCACATCCCTCTCCGGACTAGCAGTAGGAGTGTGAAACTCGTCTCCCTCCTCCCCACCCTCCTCCCCATCCCCCTCCTTCCCGCCTCTCCCATTCCGCCCTTTCCCCTCCCCTTCCTCCTCATCCTCCTCGCCCTCCCCATCCCACTCTGCATCCTCCTGAGCAAGAGCAAAGGCTTCTGGCAGGGGGGCGGGAGCGGCTCTGAACTCCTCGAATTTGGAAAAGGTGACAGACACGCGGACAGTGGGAACAACTGGTATGGCCACCTGTAGACAGGGAGGAAGGGGAGACCCGGAGGAGGGGTGTGTGTTTGAGACACCTCAACAGCAGGCTTCTGAAAGAGGTGCGGTCGCAGAATATTTCCACTTTGGATAGAAGGTGACAGACACATGGACAGTGGAAACCACTGGTATGGCCACCTGTAGACAGGGAGGAGGTGTATGTGTGTGTGTGTGTGTGTGTGTGTGTGTGTGTGTGTGTGAGTTCGTGGGGAGGACGAGGGGAAGGGGAGGGGGAAGGGGGAATGGGATGGGGGTGGGGGAACGGGAGGGGAAATGGGGAAGTTGCAGAGTGCAAAAGGTGGTAGGAGAGTTGCATCAAGCTGCCTTAAGAAATGGATTTTGGAAAACGTGAGAGAAACGTGAGGCGCCACTGGACTGGTCACATGTCTGTCGACATGGAGGAGGAGAAGACCGGGAGATGGGTTGGATATTGAGATGGGGATGGGGGAGGGGGGCTGGGGCTACACACACGTGGACAGTAGGCAGCACGAGCGGAAGAAAGCATTTTGGGTCGGGATTCTAATCGACAAAAGAAATGGCTGGTAGTCAGAGTGGGGGGTGGAAGGAAAGGGGAATAAGGCCGAGGTGAAAGGGAAGCGGGAGGGAAAGGGGGAGGGGGGGAAGTGGGGAGGGCGAAAGCGGGCCATGCACCGCGCCTATACATGTTTTGAGACGTCTCAAAACATCTCTTTTATCGGGTGGGGAGGGCGAAAGCGGGCCATGCACCGCGCCTATACATCCCAAAACCCATAGCGTCCATTCACCATGGCCCATTCCCACCAGCACCCAGCAGCACCCACCTCACGGGCACCATCCCCGGTGGCAGTTTCATGGTGAGAAATTCCTTCAACCGCTGCACCGCCTTCACTCGGTTCGATAGCAGGTCCAGCAGCGGCAGCAACTCCTTCATATCCAGAGGGAAATCCCTCGTCATCCACAGCACAGATACCGACCAGCACCGACAAGCACCCAGCAGCACCCAGCAGCACCTTCCATCACCAACCATCACCTACCTTCACAGGGACCATCCCTGGGGGCAGCTTCATCGTAAGTAGCTCTTTCAACCGCTGCACCGCCTTCACTCGGTTTGAGAGAAGATCTAGCAGCGGCAGTAGCTCCTTCATATCCAGAGGAAAATCCCTCGTCATCCACAGCACAGGCTTCAGCCCCCGCCGATACTCACTCTCCCCTTCCTTCTCCGCGTATTCCTCCCCCTCTACCCCTCCCTCCCCCCCTCCCCCGCCCTGGCCGCTCCTCCCCGTGCTTCTCCCCTCGCCCTTCTCTCGTTTGCTGCCTTTCCCCGCACCCCCCTCCTCGTCCCTGCTGTCTCTCTCGCGGTCTGAGAAGCTTCGTGAGAGTTTTCTTTCCAGCTGCCGCTTGCTCTCTTTGGACTCTTCTTGCAACTCACTGTCACTCTCCACCTCCCTCTCCTCGCCTCCCATCCCCCCTCCCCCCCCTCCCCCTCCTCCTCCCCCTCCCCCCCCTCCGCCTTCATTGTTTTTCCGCCTGGAAAACCAGCCTCCCCTTTTAGACCCCTCTGCACTCCCATCCTTTTCCTCATCCTTCTCCTTCTCCTTTTTCTTCTTGTCCTTATCCTTTTTTCCCCCCAACCACCCTCTCCTCCCCCCCCCATCCTCCTCCACCTCCCTCCCTGCACTTGCCTCACTTGCCCCTCCCCTCTCCTTCCCCTTCCCACCTGCCTTTGAGCCCTTCACTCCCTCAATCTGCTTCTCCCGCTCCTCCTGCCTCCCCTCCTCCCCCTCCTCGTCCTCCTCCTCCCCCATCCCTTCCACCTGAGCCAAAGCAGCTTTCAGCTGAGCCCTTTCCTCCTCTGTCAGTATACCGTTATAATCCTCCTCTTCCTCCTCCACTATCCCCTCTCCCCCCTCCCCTCCCTCGCCCTCCTCCTCCTCCGCTCCCTTCCCAGCATCCCCACCCTTCCCCTCCTTCCCCTCCTTCTCCTTCCCACCACTCGCCTTCTCCCCTCCCGCTTTCACCTCCTCTTTCCCTTTCCCTCCTTTCCCACCCCCTTTCCCACCACCCTTCCCTCCTCCATCCTCCTCTTCCTTCCCACTCCCCCCTTTCCCCGCTCCGCCCCTCCCCTTGACCTTCCCAGCCCCTTCCCCTAAAAACTCCTCATCTGTCATCGCGCCAGGCACCCGTCTCGATCGAAACATGAAATGCACGTGCTGCATCTCATAAAGCATTGCCCTGTGCCCCGCAACTGTCTCCACCTTAGGCAACCCCCGCCAGGACAACACCTGAGAGAGCTCCGCTTGCGAAACATCGATCCCCGCCTTGTACACGTTCGTCATGAACAGCGACTGCACCTCTGCTTTTAATTCGGCGTCGGTGGGAATCGAACCCGCGGCTTCAAGAGCGTCAAACGCCTCCTTGCGCTCGTGCTTCAGCACCAGCAGGGTGCCGGCTTTCAGCTTCCCATCTGGGCTGGGAGCGCCCATGAAGATCAGGCTCTGTGGCTTGCGCTTCACCCTAAATGAAAGGGAGAGAACGAAGGGAGGGGAGGGCGGGGGGAGGAAGGCCGTAGCAAAGCTGTTACTAAGGCGCCTCAACGTCTGGGCTGGGAGCGCCCATGAAGATCAGGCTCTGTGGCTTGCGCTTCACCCTGATGGAGGGAGCGATGCGGGGCGGGGAGGGGAGCAAGGATCCGATTCTTAGGTGCCTGAGACACAGGCTAGGCCTTAGTGGGAATATACGCTCAAACCCTAAAGCGTATAGCGTATACACGCTAGCGTGTGTACGCAAAACGCAATACGCTAGCTAATACGCTATACGCTATCAGAAAAAATTTCGGGCTGCCCAGGGAAAAAAATCGCTTGTGTACAGAAAGATGCGGAATCTTCTGCTGAGCATTTCGCCTAAAGTCGAAATGCAATTTGACGGTCTAGGGAAGCGGGAGTGGGCCTTCGAAGTTGCAGGCAGTTCAAATTTGAACATTAGATTGGTACCGCATTGGAACCCATATTATCTACGAATTCCAACCTGTCAAAAACGTGCCCCACCAAACCCCACTCACGCTACTTACCAGCCAGCAAAATTCCAGTCGTCATTTCTAGTTGGCATTCCCACTTTCTAACAGCAGAGCTCCTTCCGATTCCTACCTACTTCTCCTTTTAGTGTCTACTCCACGTCCCACCCCAATCGCCGTTCAGACTTAGGGAAATGCTACGAAAGTCTTAATGAGAATAGGGATCACCTTCTTAATCTTGAGCACGACGTCTTTTTCACCCTGCCCGAGATAGTTTTTTACCTGCCCGAAAAGCGTATTACCAAATCGACCCTTAAGCGTTTAGCGTATATACGTTAGCGTATATACGATACGCGTATATACGCTATAAGCGTATATTCCCACTAAGGGCTAGGCTAGGCTGGGAGCGCCCATGAAGATAAGGCTCTGTGGCTTGCGCTTCACCCTGGGGGGGGGAACGAAGGGAAGAGGAGGTGGGAAGGGGGGGAGAGGGTGAGGGGGGGGGGGAGAAAGGATCTGGCTTTGGATCGCCGCAAAGACAGGATGGGAGCGCCCCTGAAGATCAGATCCTGTGGCTTGCGCCTTGCGCTTCACCCTGGGGGTGGGAGAAGAGGTGGGGTGGGGGGAGTGGGGAGGGGAGGGAAGAGAGCGGGGAAGGGAGGGAAGGGTGGGAAAGAGCAGGGATCAGTGTTGAGGCGCCTCAAAAGAAGGCGGGGCTGCCATGAAGATCAGGCTCTGTGGCTTGCGCTTCACCCAGCGGGGGAGTGAGACGAGGCGGCGGCGGGGGAGGTGGGGAGGAGAAGGAGCAGCAGCTAGATTTTACCAGCTCAACAGACACACAAACCTGAACCCGTCGAACCCCGCCAGGGTCATGTCAGCCCTGAGCCGGGGTCCACGCTTCCAGATGCGGTAGGTGTCGCTGGGAGCGATTCTCGAGACGAAGGGGATGACGGAGGACTCTAAGGACCACGCGACCTCCATGTAGAAGTCACGCACGCATGCTTGCAGCCGCAGAACCAGCCTCAATAGCAGCCTCAGTACCAGCTTCGGAACAGCCTCGGAACTTACCTTAGAGCTAGCCTTGGAACCAGAGCCAACACAGGCTCGGAACTAGCCTTGATGAGCTAGAATCAATCAAGCAGCTGAGCACACATACCTGAATCCATCAAAGCCTGCAAGAGTCATGTCGGCTCTGAGCCTTGGCCCGCGCTTCCAAATCCGGTAGGTGTCGCTGGGAGCGATCCTCGAGACGAAGGGGATGACGGAGGACTCGAAGGACCACGTGACCTCCATGTAAAAGTCGCGCATGCGCGTGAGGATGGCTGCGAGGGCGGGCAGGCGGCGCATGTAGCGCGCCCACACCTGCACCCCACTGTGGCGCAGGATGGCCGTGGCTATGACCTCGTCCCGCGTGCACACCGCCTCCTGGATGGCCGTCCAGCCGCCTCCGTTCTGGGGAAAGGGTGGGACAGGGCAGGGGAAGGGGAGCGGGAGGACAAAGAAAGGGGAGCAGGGAGGAAAAAAGGGAGCGAAAGGAGGAAGGGCAAGCGGTGGAACGGAAGGTGTTTCTGAGATGGGTTCGGGTGTGAGAGGCGGGTGGGCAGGAGGGCAGGCGGCGCATGTAGCGCGCCCACACCTGCACCCCGCTGTGGCGCAGGATGGCCGTGGCTATGACCTCGTCCCGCGTGCACACCGCCTCCTGGATGGCCGTCCAGCCGCCTCCGTTCTGGGAGGAGGGGAGGGGAGGGGAAGGGGAGTGGGCGGGCGGGGAAATGGGAAGGAGAGGGGGAAGGGGGAAGGGGAAGGAGAAAGGGGGACGGGGAAGGGAAAAAAGGGGAAGGGGAAAGGGGGAAGGGGAAGGGGTGGAACAGAGGGTAATTCTGAGTGAGGTGAAATAGGCGCTGCTGGTTTTTGCGTCGACTCAAAAGTCAGTTCTGAGTGAGGTGAAATAGGCGCTGCTGGTTTTTGAGTCGACTCAAAAGTCAGTTCTGAGTGAGGTGAAATAGACGCTGCTGGTTGGGAGAGGTGGGCGGGCAGGCGGCGGATGTGTCGCACCCACACCTGCCCGCCCCTGCGGCGCAGGATGGCTATAGCCTTAAATAACCATCTCCCGTTCTAATCAATCCGTATCAATGCTAGTCAATGGTGCTTGCATTGCATGACAGACAGATAGAGCAGAAGCGCTTGCTCACCGCTTGTGTGACACCCACCCCCCTACCCCCCCCCCCCCCTTTCCCCCCCCCCGACATCCCAACATTCCATCAACCCCCTGACCCCGACCGAACCCTCCTTGCCCCCATCCCTTGGTCCCATCCCTCCCCATCCTTCCCCCTCCTCCCCTTTTCCCCCTTTTCCTCCTTTTTCCCCCTTCCCCCACTTCCCCCCGGCCCAAGCAGCACACGTGTCATCCCAGCATCATCCCACCAACACCAGCGGCGCACCTGGAGGCTGACGTCAGCGCCAGCCTGGACCAATAGCTCCACGGCGGCCCTATCCCCGAGCCGCACCGCCAGGCACAGCGGCGACTCCTTGTGCGGCACGTCGCGCCGATCCAGCGTGCGCTGCGCCACGTCAGCCTGGACCTCCGCAGCCAATGACTGCTCCTCGGTCTTGATACTCCCCGGAATCGGCGGGCGCGGGACCGACGCGAGAATGCGCCTTAAAGCGTGGTAATCGCGCTGCAGGATCGCCGTGTGGATGGGGCTGTGAGAATAGTCCTGGATATTAATATTCGCGACGGCGCGCACCGTCGCGGCGGCGAGCGCCTCGGTCGACATGGAGCTGCCGGAAGAGCCCCCGCAGTGATTGGCGCCGGGTTTTGCGGCGGCGACGCGATTCGAAGTGTGAGACGCACGGGGATGATCCGAATTAGTAGCCGCCGCATTGGCCGCTGTTGGCGTAGGCTGCGGAGGGGGGTCTTCGGAAAGAGGCATGGCTGCTACCGCGGAATGGCTGATGTTGAAGCAATCAAAGCAGAACTACACGTAGGATTACACGAGTTGGGTTGACGAAACTGGTTCTGTCGTCGTCGCCTGGTCAGGCGACGGACGGCCGTCGCCTCGATTTTTCGCCTTTCGTATGTCTGATACTCCTACTACATAATTCACAGAGCTAGAGACAGCAGAGCGGTAAGGCGAGTAGCTGACAAATTATGACGGATAAAAATGTAGCGGTAACGCTAACGGTCGAAACGTCACGTCACGTTGACTTCTCAGGACATTTCACCCAGCCCTGGCCCTGGAACGCAACCGCAATTATCGCATCGCAACGCAAGCTTCCTCTAACTTCCTCCCCCTCGCAGTCTAAAACTACAACGGAGATCACGCCCGTGATTGCGCGAAACGCGGGAGCAAAGCAAGGCGGAAACGGTGCAGCAAAGCAAGTAGGTAAGAGTCAGACACGTCAGTTCAGTCAGTGTGGGATGGAACGGAAGTGCCAGCAACTTACAGGACGGGACAGGTCACTCAGGGAGTCAGGATTCACAAGTCACGACACGGGAGTCTAGGCTGCGACTGATGCTGAACAGTGTGCTGATAAAGGGGCGTCCAAGCCAAGCCATGTGTGGACTTTAATTCACACACTTTACCACGGTTTTTAGTTCGTTTTCTTGCGGTCTGACGTGGTAGCATGCAGCTACCATGGTTCACCATTTGGAAACGTGCTGAACCGCACTGTACGATCACTGCAACCAACGCGCACAACCACCCCGTGACGTGCTGGAGCCCACAGGCCTACAAATATTCAAAATATTGGGCAAGCACCCTTCGAAAATAGTACAGTACCGTACACCTACGTCCTTTATTTTTACACGAAATATCCTTCAAGACTCTTCTTCAGCAAGCTTCACAATCACAAGAGTGGACAGTGCCAAGAGCATACAATTGATGGTTTTTCTAAACCACTTGAACAAGCACTGAGAGTATATGGTACTTCAAGATAAACCGAGTCCCTATCACATCCTCCACACCAGGTATCAGTCATACGCCCATGTCATGGCCCACTAAAAAAACCGGATCGCCATGTACCGTAACAAACCACTGTTTCAAACCCCGTATGCTCTGCCCAATCCCCTAATACCCTCCCCTCCACCACTACGAAATCACCAGCTTCTGCTGCTCCCTCAGCGCATTCCACTCCTGCAGCACCGCCAGCTGGAGCGCATGCTCCTCCTCGGGAATCCCCGGGATTTCCGGCGCCTCATCTCCCCTCACCCACTACGAAATCACCAGCTTCTGCTGCTCCCTCAGCGCATTCCACTCCTGCAGCACCGCCAGCTGGAGCGCATGCTCCTCCTCGGGAATCACCGGGATTTCCGGTGCCTCCTCTCCCTCGGCAGGCGCGGGTTCAAACATGCCGGGTAGGGGGATGCTCTTGGAGGCGGGGCGCACGGCGGAGCTGAGGAGCTCGAGAGACTCGTCGTGGCGCTTCTTCTTTGTGGCTGTGAACGCTGCTAGCTCCTCCTCACTCACTGCCCGTATGGCCCCGCCTGGGGATGGCGGGATGGCGAGGGGTGAGAATGTGTGTGTGTACGGGAGGGCCGGGAGGAGGGGAAGGAGGGGAAGAAAGGGAAATGGGAGGAACAAGGATAAGGCAATCTGGGTGCAGTGCACAGAAGACCAAATTGGCAGGGGAATGCTCTTGGTTGTGGGGAGCATGGCAGAGCAGCGGAAGACAAAGGACTCGTCGTGGCGCTTCTTCTTTGTGGCTGTGAACGCTGCTAGCTCCTCCTCACTCACTGCCCGTATGGCCCCGCCTGGGGATGGCGGGATGGCGTGGGGTGAGAGTGTGTGCGAGAGGGGGCAGGAGGGGAAGGAGGGGAAGGAGGGAATTGGGGGAGGGGGGAAGGAGAGTGGGAGCAAGGATGAGATGGTTTGGTGGGACTGTGTGGTCATCCAGCCTTCACTGGACAGCAGAGGAAATCCCCAAAACCACTTCTCTCTCGTCCCAACTAATTAAGCGCAGCAGCACAAAGCACAAAGGATTGGGAGTGAAATCATGAGGAGCAGGAGTAACAAAGGAATGGCATGTAAGAGCCAAGCACTCGGTACCTGTGAGGTCATTCAGCCACTCCTGGGGCCCAGCTAGGATCTCATTGACAACGTGTGGAGAGAGGAGGAGAAAGGATCATGCGCACGACCCTTCAGAGAGCAGCGTGCGAGGACCAAACCAAGCCAAGCATAACTGCGAACCAATCAGGACTGCTTTACCTGTGAGGTCATCCAGCCACTCCTGCGGGGCCGCTAGGATCTCGTTGACGACGTGGGGGGAGGAGGAGCGCAGCACAGACGACCAACCTAGTGCACTCTCACCAACACAGTGGGTCGAATGTAGGGACCAGACCAGGCCGCACGCGTACCTGTGAGGTCATCGAGCCACTCCTGGGGGGCCGCTAGGATCTCGTTGACGACGTGTGGGGATGAGGAGCGCAGCACGAAGCGGCAGAACATGGTGGTGGAGTCGGCTGCAAAGCCGCCGTCGCTCGCAATGTCACTCGTGCCGAACACTATTATGGCCAGCGTGTCTCCGAACCATGTCTTGGCCGCATAGAACACCTGGGGAGGTGGGGGGGAGCGGAGAGGGGGAGGGGAGGAGGGGGACAGGGAGAATGAGCGGCCTTTAAGGTGCCTATAGTACGGAACACCGGGGGAGGGAGCGAGGCAAGGCAGCAAGCGAGCAGGGCTGGGAAGGTGCGTGTGGGGAGGAGGAGCGCAGCACGAAGCGGCAGAACATGGTGGTGGAGTCGGCTGCAAAGCCGCCGTCGCTCGCAATGTCACTCGTGCCGAACACTATGATGGCCAGCGTGTCTCCGAACCATGTCTTGGCCGCATAGAACACCTGGGAGAGAGGAAGCGGGGAGAAGGGTAGTGGAGGGGAGGAGGGAGGGTCAATGGTGTGAGCAAGACTGCGGACACATACCTATTACCTGGAAGCCTCAACACACCACCAGCACACATGCACACATACCTGGAAGCCCGCACGATTGCTGATGAGATGCGTGGCGACTTTGAAAACAGGGCGAGAGTCAATGGCGCGCAGCCCTGCTAGCAGCCTTCACCCAAGTACAGAGCCTCAACACACACCACGCCCACACGCCACCCGCGCACACATACCTGGAAGCATCAACACACCACCAGCACACATGCACACATACCTGGGAGCCTCAACACACCACCAGCACACATGCACACATACCTGGGAGCCTCAACACACCACCAGCACACATGCACCAGGGAGCCTGCGCGGCTGCGTTTTTTCTAGTCGACTCAAAAGTCCGCGCGGCTGCGGGTGAGATGTGAGGCGATTCTGAAGACGGGACGAGAGTCAATGCCACGCAGCCCTGCGAGCTACCTGCGGATGCCCACGAGAACACTGCCAAGTGTAACCCTCTCAGGCCTTGCCATACCACCACTTTCACTTCACACTTTCTCTGTAATACACCAAAACCTGTCATCACGTAGTGAGTGAATTCCCACGCGCACCGTTTATGAAATCCACGCAGCATTCACCCAGGTACAGAGCCTCAACACACACACACACACACACACACACACACACACACACACACACACACACACACACACACACACACACACACACACACACACACACACACACACACACACACACACACACACACACACACACACCGCCCACACACCACCACCCACACACACACATGTATACTTGGAAGCCCGCGCGGCTGCGAATGAGATGCGAGGCGACTTTGAAGACGGGGCGAGAGTCAATAGCGCGCAGCCCTGCTAGCAGCCTTCACCCACGTACAGAGCCTCAACACACACCACCCGCATGTACCTGGAAGCCCGCACGACTGCGGATGAGATGCGAGGCGACTTTGAAAACAGGGCGTGAGTCAATGGCGCGCAGCCCTGCGAGCAGCCTCCTGATGCCGACGTCGTCGGAGGAGAGGACGAGCGAGGAGTGCGTTGAGTCGTAGAGGTAGGCGCCTGTGTGCTCGCCCACTGCTGGCAGGCTTGGTAGCACTCGGAAGAACTCCACTGGCGAGCACCTGAGGATGGGGAGGGGAGAAGGAGGGGGAGAGGGAGAGGGAGAGGGAGAAGAGGGGGGAGGGGAGGGAGGAAGAAAAGGGGAAGGACGGGTGGGGGTTGGATGGGAGGGGGACGGATGACGTGTGAGAGGGTAAGAAGGGACATGAGCCTGGAAGGGAAGGGGGGCGGAGGGGGGGGACGGAGGGTACAAGAGGAGTGTGTTGAATTGTAGAGGTAGGTTCCTGTGTGCTTGCCCACTGCTGGCAGGCTGGGCAGCACTCAAAAACTGTCTCACATGAACACGCACCCAACCACCCACCCACCCACCCACCCACCCACCCACACGCATCTGTGCGGTCTGTAAGCGGCACACGGTAGGGCACACACCGCAGCCTTACACACGCAGGTATTGAGGCACCTCAAAACATGTCTCACAGGCGCACACGCCCACCCACCCACACGCACCTGTATGGCACGAGCAGGTCAGTAAGCGGCACACGGTACGGCACACACCGCAGCCTCACAGGCGGCCGCACAGGCCCACTCGCTGCACCCCCTTCCCCCTCACTCCCACTCGTCCTCCTCCTCCTCCCCAACCCCCCAATCCCACCTCCTCCTCCCCCTCCCCCCTCCTCATCCTCCAAACTCAGCCTAGTTATATCCGCTATCCCTGCTCCTGCTCCTCCTCCCCCGGGGCTATTATGTGAGGAGCGGCGGTTGTTGGTGGAGCGGGGGCCAGGGAGAGTGCCGTGATAGAAGAGCATGTGGAGCTGCAAGGCGTTGCGCTGGAAGCGGGTCACAGAGACTGTCACGTCGGAATATATCGGCTCCTGTGAGGGGAGGGAGACGTAGTGAGCAGAGCCGCGGGAGAGCAGTGAGAAGGCATGGGAAGAGATAGAAGAGCATGTGGAGCTGCAAGGCGTTGCGCTGGAAGCGGGTCACAGAGACTTTCACATCTGAGTACATTGGCTCTTGTGAGGGAAGGGGTGTGGTGGAGAGGGGAGAGCGGTGGGAGAGCGGTGGGAGAGAGAATAGGTCGAGCTGCACGAGCATGTGGAGCTGTAAGGCGTTGCGCTGAAAGCGGGTCACAGAGACTGTGACGTGACGTCCGAATCGATAGGCTCCTGTGAGGGAACGGCGATGATTGGGAGAGCTGTGAGCAAGAAAAAAACACGGGAAAAGGATAGGAGAGCGGGGGCCAGGCGGGAGCCAGGAAGAGGGCCTTGATAGAAGAGCATGTGGCGCAGCAAGGCGCTGCGCTGAAAGCGGGTCACGTCGAAATGTGTTGGCTCCTGTGAAAGGTGGGGAGTAGAATAGTGAAAGCGCTGGGGAAGAGAGCATGAGCAGAGATGTGAGGAGCGTATGGAGCAGCAGGAGAGCAGCAGGAGAGCAGCAGGAGAGCAGCAGGGGAGTTGAGAGAGTGGCATCCAAGCTACTGGGCTGGGGAGATTACTGCTGCACTACTCTCCTGTGGCTAACAGTCCCTCCCAGGTTGCAGCCACACGTGCCGTGCTCACGTCCCCCTTTCCCCTTCCATTCCCCACCCCTGTAGCACCACCATTGGCTTGTGACAGTCGACCCAACACAACGAGAAAAGCACAAGCCCACCTGTGGCTGCAAGCGGTTTAGACGGCGAGTGGCGCGTGGCACCCCATCCATGAATATGAGAGCACCCAGCAGCCCCACATGCACGTCTCTCCTCCCCCCCCCCCCCCCCCCCCCTCTTCCCTCCCCCTAGCACCACGGATGATTTCTGAGTCATTCAGAGAGAACAAGCTCACCTGTGGCTGCAAGCGGTTGAGCCTGCGAGTGGCCCGAGGCACCCCATCCATGAATCTCAGAGCACCCAGCAGCCCCACGTGCACGTCCACCCGCGGCAGCACCACCTCTGTCATATTTAGCACCTGATGGGAGGGGTATGTATGGGAGGAGGGGCAGGAGTAGGAGAGACGAGTTAACAGTGTTTGACTGAACTTTGAACCCTAAAAGACACCTTTGGGAGCACCCAGCAGATCCCAGCAGCCCCATGTGCACGTCCCCCCGCGGTAGCACCACTTCCGCTATGTTCAACACCTGGTACGAGTGGTACGTAGGGGACGAGAGAAGGGGGAGGGGGACAGAACTGTTTGAATTTTGAAGGTAACCCCCAGTTCTGAAGCTAGAATCCCCAGCAGCAATACCCCGGCATGCATGCACCCTCTCTCACCTTCATGCTCACAGTCACCCTCCTCTCTGTCATGGCTGACAGATGAAACGCCTCAACATACGCCAAGTCACTGCACTGCTCCTTGTGATGCCAGTCGCCACTGGCGCCAACACCTACCTACCTACCTACCGTCTGAACTTCTGAGGCACCTCAGAGAAACTCACCTTCACACTGAGAGTAACCCGCCTCTCATTCATGGCTGACAGGTGAAACGCCTCAACATACGCCAAGTCACTGCTCCCCGTAATACTAATCGCCACTGGCGCCGACACCTGCCGCCCCACCGCAATCCCTGACGAAGCACCCGCAATCCCAGCCATGCCCCCACCGGGGATCAACGCAGGGTCTAACCCTTGGTCCTCCTGCTGCTGCTGCAGCTGCCGCTGTAGCAGCTCGTCGGGAGAGGCGGACGGGGCTGAGAGGTCCGAGACGGCGGATTTGACGAGGGACTCGAGCTTCCGGTCCTGCGCTGCGGCTGCGCTGTTGTAGAGGACTGAGAGGCGGTGGTGGGAGAAGGGGTACTCGCCCGTTGCTCCCATGCGCACTGCCCACCTGTGGATGGGGGAACGGGGAGCGGGGAAGGGGAGGGAGAGAGGGAACGACAGGAGAAAAGGGAGCGCGGAGAAACGGCAGAGGGGCGAAAGGGAGAGGTCTGAGACGAGGGACTCGAGCTTCCGGTCCTGCGCTGCTGCTGCGCTGTTGTAGAGGACGGATAGGCGATGGTGGGAGAAGGGGTACTCGCCCGTTGCTCCCATGCGCACTGCCCACCTGTGGATGAGGGGTGGGGAGAAGAGGTGGCGGGAGAGATAGAGGGTGAGAGGAAGAGAGCGAGGGGGGGGGGAGTGGGAGGGGGGAGTGAGTGAGGGTGGAGAGGGGGGATGAGAGAGGAGAGAGAGGGTGCGGAAGGAGGTATTGACATGGAAAGGAAAGGATTAGAAAGCGGTTGAAACGTGCAGGTCCCACCAGATGTGTGCACTGAACCAGGTACGTGTGGTGCACCATATACGAAGCTGCGACGCATACCCACACACCCCAAGCCAACCCATCCTCCCACTCCTTCTCTGAGGCGCCTCAAAAACACACCAGACGTACGCACACTCCACTCCACATATCCCCCCACGTACTCACCTCTCACGTGCGGTCGGGGGAGTGGTGCACATAAGCCAGGGACTGCATAATACTGAGACAACCCTTCTCCCAAACACCTCAAAACCCCCCTTCGCCCAACACCCTCACACTTTCCTCTCGCCCCCCAGCAGCACCACTCACGTGCGGTCGGGGAAGTGGTGAACATAAGCCAGAGACTGCAGGATACTGCGGCAGCGGTGGCGGGTGGCACTATCCACGAGCCCCGGCGCCGACTGCAACTCCTCCACCTCCCGACACACCAGCACTGTCCCTAGCCCCCAGATGCAGCACACACACCAGAACTCCCCTACCCTCAACAACCCCACCTCTCCAACGACACCCTCACCCACACCCACAGCCCCCAAAACCACCCCCACTCCCCTGGCCTTCCCCAAGGCCAGCACCACTCACGTGCGGTCGGGGAAGTGGTGAACATAAGCCAGAGACTGCAGGATGCTGCGGCAGCGGTGGCGGGTGGCACTATCCACGAGCCCCGGCGCCGACTGCAACTCCTCCACCTCCCGACACACCAGCACTGTCCCTAGCCCCCAGATGCAGCACACACACCAGAACTCCCCTACCCTCAACAACCCCACCTCTCCAACGACACCCTCACCCACACCCACAGCCCCCAAAACCACCCCCACTCCCCTGGCCTTCCCCAAGGCCAGCACCACTCACGTGCGGTCGGGGAAGTGGTGAACATAAGCCAGAGACTGCAGGATGCTGCGGCAGCGGTGGCGGGTGGCACTATCCACGAGCCCCGGCGCCGACTGCAACTCCTCCACCTCCCGACACACCAGCGCTGCCGCCCTGAAGCTCCTCGCGCCCAGATGCAGTGCGCACACCAGAATCGCCTGCACCTCCTGCAACCGGTTCCCACTCATCGCCACCGCTGCCGCACCCCCTCCTCCCCCTCCTCCGCCTCCCCCGTCCCCAGCAACCACGTCCGCGAGCATGGTTCCGGTGGCATCGTCGGGGGAGAAGAGGATGCGGTGGAAGAGGGAGGTGAGGATGGTGACTGGGTCTTTTGGGTCGTCTGGGAAGAGAGGCTCTGGGCCTGCGAAGGACATGTGCTCCGCTAGAACCCACAGGAGCCGCACTCGCAGGGTGGAGGAGGAGAGCTGGGGTGTGACGAAGGGAACGGGGAGGGGAGGTGAGAGGGGTGAGAGGGGGGAGAGGAAAGGTTGAGTGCAGAAAGGGGAGGGAGAGAGGGGCTCCGGGCCTGAATAGAACAGGTGCGCAGCTAGCACACATAGGAGCCGCACTCGCAGGGTGGAGGAGGAGAGCTGGGGTATGACGAAGGGAACGGGGAGGGGAGGCGAGAGGGGTGAGAGGGGGGAGAGGAAAGGTTGAGTGCAGAAAGGGGAGGGAGAGAGGGGCTCCGGGCCTGAATAGGACAGGTGCGCAGCTAGCACCCATAGGAGCCGCACTCGCAGGGTGGAGGAGGAGAGCTGTGGTGTGAGGAGAGGAAGGCGGAGGAAGAGGGGGAAAGGGGTGATGGTGTGGGGGCATGGGGAGGCGGAGGGTTGAGTGAAGCAAAGGAAGAATTTCGAGTCGACTGTAAAAAGAGGGGTTTGAAGCCTGAAAGGGACGGGTGCAGTGCAGCAACATAACACGTAGGTGACATGACACAAGAAGCGATATGACGGGGGGTGAGGGAAGCATGGCTGGGGGCATGGAGAGACACCAGTAGCTGTCTCTGCAGCGTGAACAGCCTCTTCTCTGCACGAATCTGCTCCGGAGCAACTTCTGAGTCGACTCAAACCCACCCCCACCCACCTTTACCCACCTTTTTTTGCATCCTCCAGCAGCTGCCTCTGCAGCGTGTACAGCCGCTGCTCCGCACGAACCTACTCCGGAGTAACTTCTGAGTCGACTCAATTCCCACCACTCGCCCCCACCCACCTCTTTTGCGTCTTCCAGTAGCTGTCTCTGAAGCGTGTACAGCCGCTGCTCCGCGCGAATCTGCTCCGGAGTAGCTCCATCCTTGGCACTCTTCACCCCGCTCGCAGTGTTATACACTTGGCACAGCCGCACCAGCAGCCGAAGGTAACAGTCCACAGCATACGTCCGCCCGCCACACTGCCACCGCACGCACGCCCTACACACCTCCACCACCTCTAGTGCCGTCTGCCCCCACGCCTCCCACCCTCCAGATGAAGCCTCCCCGGATACCACTGCTGCTAGGGACCCCCCTCTGCCTGCCGCGGCAGCAGCAAAGGAGAACCCAGCTCCTGACTCCGCGCCGTAGCCTTCTATACCTCCCCCGCCGAACCCTCCTGCTAACCCGCTCCCCATGCCGCCCGCGCCCCCCGCTCCCCCTGCGCCGAACCCTCCCCCGCCTGCTGCTCCTCCGCCTGCCCCTCCGCCTACTCCCCCGCCTCCGCTCCCACTCGCCAGCTGAAACGCACTCTCTACCAAACACGCCAAAAGCTCCTCCCTAAACAGACCACTATCAACGTTCGGCACTACTGGCAGCGCCAGCTCGTCTTTAATCTGCGAGTCGTCAAAGAGGGAAGAGACGTCCGTTCCTGTGACTGGCCTCTGCCCCCTGCGCGCCGATTCCTTCGAGAACAAATCCACGCAAAGAGCCGCGCGGCAGATGCTCGCTAGGGCAACCATACGATCCGCTTCGGCTCTCAACCCTCGGACCATCAGCAACAGCCGTTTGAACAGCGCAGCCTGGGTGTGTATGTCCAAGAGAGGGAGGTTCGACACCACGGCTTTAACTATCGCCTCTCGTCCCGCTGAGTACTCCTGCCGATCCCACAACGAGAGGAACGCAGTCACAGGCCCAGTCGCCCACTCCGGTTTCCCCCCAGGCACGGCCGCGAGAGCGAGAATCTGCAGGCCCACTTCGAAGACTATGGATGGGTCTAGAGAGGCGAGGTACGGTGAGAGGTGCGTGACTATATCTGCGACTCCGAGCATGCGTTCCGTGTTCACTAGGTCTTTCCGCTCCTCTGCGGCTGCTGCAGCTGTTTCTGACGACACTGTAGTGGCTACTGCAGTGGAGGAGGAGGAGGCGCGACGTGATCCCACCTTGCTGCTGCTGCTGCTGCTGCTGCTACTGGCCTCCTCCTTGCCCTTTCCACTCTTGCTGTCTCTTCCTGATCCTCCTCCGGCTGATGTTGCTGCTGACGATGAGGATCCTTTCTTGTCTTTGCCCTTTTTCTTTCCGTCCGCTTTTTCTTTGCCAGAGCCACTATCGGCTGCAGAATCTCCCAGAGTGAGCCCGCCAATCCCGCCCAGCCCACTACTCTCGCCCTCTCCTCCTCTCCCCCCGCCAACACCGCCGAAATCCCCCAGGCCTAGCAAATCATCCCCGAATCCACCCAACCCATCGCCAGCCTCACCGGCAGCACCCACGGAAACGGCGCTGCTTCGTCTCCGCCTCGCGCCTTCTTCCCTAGGATTCAACATCATTCTCAGGTCATCAACTAGCCCCGTCGCAAACGCCCGCGCGGCGTACGCAAGCGGATAGATCGACGAGCGGAACGCGTCCGGAGTGAGTAACCCCGCGCGCGCGATTAGCATGTCCCGCTTCCCCCAGACTAGCCCGGTCAGCGCAACCACCAGCTGCGCGCGCACCGCGGCGGAAGATTCCGTCGGAACGAGCCGTTGCGCCGCGATTCTGCTCATTTTTTTCGTGGCGAATTCTGAAAATAGACGGCCCACGGCGTCGAAAGCTGCGGCTGCGACTATATCGGAAGGGTCTAACATCGAAAGGCCGATCTGGCGCCACCAGAGCGAGACGCGGTCTAGGAGGGAAACGGACTGCGCGCAGAGATTAATTACATCGTCGCGTAGGAGAAGCGTTCCGAGAGAGTCCATCGCGGCTTGTCTTAATCCCACGTGGTCGTGGACGATGCAGTTAGAGAGCTCCTTAGAGTGATCATCTAGGAACTTCCCGACCCGCCAGCCCGGAAGCGCGACGACGAAGCGGAGCGCGGCGGCGGTGACGTCAGGATCCGGGCAGCTGAAATCATTGTGCATGCCCCGACACACGACGTCCCAGTCGTCATCCGTTAAGTGGCCCGCGGTGCGGAGAGCATCGTACGCGAGCTGCTTACTAACGGCGTTCGCGCTGCCGGCGATTAACTCCGTGCAGAGAAGCGACGCGAGACACGATACGTCCTTACCGCCGGCTGCTAACTGCAAGGCGACTAGGATGGCGGACGTCTGCCGGCTGACGTCGTTAGATATTATGTCGCCGCGAATGGCTTGAAATATGACCTGATCCATGGCTGGTGCGGTAAATATTAAGACGCGAAAGAGGTATTTTTTTGGCGGCTACCAAAGTCGCCGGCGTCGTCGCCGTCTCCGCCGCTGCAGGTGGCTAATCGACGAAACACTACGCCCTACTTGGGCTAGCGAGGATATTGATGGGACTGGCCGCAATCTAGGGCAAAATCGACGCCCAGTATAGTGGGAACCGGAGATTCCGATCAAATTTCAGCAGCGGGAGGAACGGCATGCTCCTTTAAAAACTTACGTAGCTACTAGGCGGCGCGACCCCTCAGTACGATCCATCCATGGATGGTCCTCCTAGTACCGTAACTCTACCCGCCCTGAGCAAGGTGATTCTTTTCAGATTTCCAGATTTCAGCTAGGCAGTGAGGGCACCCTGCGAGGTACAATCTCGAGGGACCACCCGCATCGATTGTGTCGGCTCGCCAGAACAGATAAGAGAGCACGTGGGTAGTGTATGTGAAGGAAATCTTCACATATTGTGCTGTATAAGCTGAGAAAAAAAATCATATTGAGCTCCCCAGGTCACTTACATATGATGGAAAGTGTAAGAATATCAGCCCATCAATTCAGATTCTTCAAATAATCAAAATATCTGTATCTGGAATATATCTTCATTACATTGATTATCCCTGATGAATAATAACATATGTAATTTATCGATTGTCATAATTAGTATAGTCTGGACGTGATCATCAGGATTTATCATGTCAGTGTAGTAGCGGAAGAAATGGCTGTGCGAAGAGAAAATATATGTGTTCCAAAAATGCTCACTCTCAAACTAGAAACTGTTTAAAAGTTTTGCACACTCAACCTGAATGGGGACTCTTGTTGATATAGGTTTGGTAGCATGGTTACATGAGCTGTTGTACCGTTAGGGTTGTAAATGAAAAATTTACACGCCCTGATTAGTCATCGCCAACATGGCGCCAAGATGGCGATTGCCAGCATGGCGCTCCTCATAACATGGATAACAGGCGAATAGAAACAGTCTATTTCAACGTCCACCAACGACTCTCCAAAGCAAGAAGCGAATTGCCGAATGAAGAACGACACAATGAACGTCACAGCCACAAATTTCTGACGGCCACGTGCCACGGGAAGAACAAAATAACTCTCCTGGATAAGCCTCCGTTCCGAGAATGGTGCGCACGCTGCGGTCCGCGTCTGGTTCTTGCTTGCGTTCCAGCTTCAAAAGCGTTCACAGTGCGTAGCAAAAGCGTACAGGTCGCCCATTCCGACACGAGAAACTGGAACAAGCGTGCAACCTCAACGCTGGGTCGTGTAATTTTGTTTTCTCATGAAGATCTCGTGAATACGCCTTCGAAAGTTCCATTGGGATTCCCTTTTCTGAACAACGGGAATCTCCCGGCCCGCACAGCCTCCTAGCAGCCGCACCACACATCTAGAACAGATTCCCTTGAGCTTGAGAGATATTCCTGTCAACTCTCTTGCTCACTCCAGTCTCCAGTGCATGTATTTTCTACGTCCAGCGAGCTCCACCTTACTTGCACCTGGCACAATTACGTCCACTCACACATAGTAGTCAGCGCGCTTCTTACATTAGGAAATAGTTTGTCCTTCACCTTTCCTTCCGGCGTCTTTTTACGGTATGTATAAAGTGTAAACTATCTCTTTCCGTGAGCATCACATAAGCAGATAAAGTGTAAACTATCTCTAAGCTACCACCTATCATAACTCGTTATTATTTCCAGGGCATGTTAAGAAACATCGCGAAGTCCCTCCCAAGTCGCTTCCTGCTCCCGCACTCCCTATCCACGCCTAGCTGCTGCTTCGCGGATACATTAAGCATCGGCGCGCTAACTTTCCGCAACGAATCAGCTCTACCATTCGGCACTCGAAATTCGTGGCTTTGCTCATTTCTCGCGTGCGCTTCGCCATCGGCGTTGGCATCGGCGTCGGGTTCAGCTTCGCCGTTGCTTTTGTCTTATCGCCATTTGCCTTGTGCTAACCTCGTGGCACCAACGGTCTCCTACATGGCCTCCCCTTCTGCTCCATACCATCGACCTCTCCTGAGAATTCTCACTCAACCACCACCATCAGTCGCTCCCTTATCGTCCTGCCGTAACGCGGTCCGTACCCTCCCGTCTCCTGTTTCCGCTCAGAGACAATTTCGTTCCCGTGCTGTTTCCGGACCGCTAGTCGCCTTCCCGCGCTTTTCCTCCTGGAGGAACCACCCTAGATTCCATTCTCGGCAGGCGCACATGCGCTTGTCAGTAGGGACGTCTTTAATTCCAATCACCGTCGCCATGTCCGCTTCTTCAGCCTCCTCAGCGGCGTCGAACAGCAACAGCAGCCCGAGCAGCGGGGGTGGAGCGAACAGAGCGAACAGAGGGATTGGAGGAAGCGGAGGAAACGGAGGAGCTGCATCTTCAGAGTTGCACAGGCAGAGGTTAGGGCCAGCGGGATTTAGATTAAGCTCCGCTCCCTCTCCGTCTTCTCCTACTTCCTCCGCCACCTCCGCTTCTTCCTCCTCCTCATCCTCTTCTTCCTCCTCTTCCTCCTCCTTCCCATCCTCGCCAGCGGCACCTGCGGCAGCTGCGTCTGGCTCGTCCTCTCCGTCCTCTCCGCTTATTTCTTCTTCTTCCTCCTCGTCTGCTTCGTCTTCTTCCGTTGACGGTATGACGAGCAACCCTTCGTCGTTCCTTAGCGCGTTCCGGTCGCGCGGGGAGGAGGAGCAGGCGGCTACGAGAGCGGCCATGGTTAGGGAGGCTGGGAGGCAGATGAGCGGTGAGAGCGACGGCAGCAGCAGCAGCAGCAGCGGTAGCGACGACGAGTGCAAAGCGACCGGCGAAGACAGCGGAAGCAGCTTCGACGGGCCGGCGACAGCTGCGACGGCCTCCGCGACGACTGCGACGTCTGCGACGGCGACCGCGACGGCGACGGAGGTCGCAGAGAGGCTCCACGTGTCGTCGAACGAGGATCTAATGAAGCGTTGGAAGCATCTACCGACCCCCATAGGCCCGGAGCCCACGGCAGGGGCGGAGAAAGACGACGCGACGCACCAGTGGACGAGTGCCGTGTGGGCTAGCGCGATCGACCCGCGGCGGCATATATTCTGCAATAGGTCCTTAAATATGAAGAGTATTGAAGCGGTGGGGTTCGATATGGACTACACGCTGGCACAGTACCGGCCGGATACGTTCGAGTCGCTGGCGTATAGGGAGACGGTTAAGAAGCTCGTGTACAGCCTTAAGTACCCAGATGAGGTGAGAGTTCAACTCGAGGTGAGCTGATATTTGAGTTGAGTCGACTAATGGTTTGAGTCGCTGGCGTATAGGGAGACGGTTAAGAAGCTCGTGTATAGTCTTATGTACCCTGATGACGTGAGACTCGAGGGCGAGATGAGCCGTGAAGATGAGACGAGACACGGTTGGACGAGGTGGGATAAGGTGGGAAGAGGTGGGATGAGGTGAGACGAGGTGGGGCGCTCGGGCAAGATGAGTTTGCTGTTAAGGTGCCTGAAACAGAACGCTTGGGTGCAGTCCTCCTTAACACACATGCGGGATGAGTTGATAAATGTGGATGCAACATCCTTCCGCCCCTTCTCTGGTGAGTGGTACTAGGTAGTAGGTAGTAGGTACTGCACGTTCCGTTTTCAAGATGGGCGTTTTATGGCTGCGAGCAACTCTCTTCACTCTAGTTCATAACAGCGTGCAAAAGATAGTGTAAAGAGTAGCTAGCTGTTGTGCACACTCGAGTGGAAAGCCAGAGAGACTTTCAAAAGTTCTTCTAACACCTTCAATCTCATTTTCCGTCCTGTGATTGCATATGCGTGCATGTGCATGTGCGTGCAATTGCATGTGCATGATTGTGTTTGCTGGCGTGCAGCTGCTGCTGTGGAACTTTGACTGGCGCTACATGGTGCGAGGACTTGTCCTGGACAAGAAGCGAGGCAACATTCTCAAGGTACCGTTTTGCATCTGCTCTTATCCCTCTGCTGCTCTGGTCCCGCTGCTGCTTCTATCTCGCTTTCCCTTGATGTTCTTTTGCCTCTGCCTCTTTTCTCTGTCTTCCTTCAAGCCCGAGCTGAAAAAATGGCAGCTGAAAGTGGTGATGTTGGAAGATTTGATTCTAAGAATTCTCAAAATCAACCTCAACAAAGTTCGAAAATTGACAGCTGAAATTGGGTGGCCTATCATGGCTTCCAGATGCTTTCCCGGAAGGGGTGTGCTGCCTTTCACACTGTCCCGCCACACTCACTCTCAATTATCCTTCTGCCACCTCACATTCCAACCTTCCCCCTCCCCCCCTCCCGCTCCTCTCCCCCCCTCCCGCTCCTCTCCCCCCCTTCACCCCGCTAACACCAGATGGACCGGCACAAGTATGTGAAGGTGGCCTATCACGGCTTCCAGGCGCTCTCCCGGGAGGAGCGCCGCGCCACATACACAGACACGCCGCTGCGGGAGTCCTTTGACGAGCCCGACTTTGCCCTCATCGACACTCTCTTCTCGCTCGCAGAGGCGTACATGTTTGCGCAGCTTGTGGAGTTCAAGGACGCTTTCCCTGACCGGATTCCGTCGACCAGGTGAGGAGGGCAGAGGAAAACAAGGGACAAGGAACCTGACTCTGTGCTCTCATAGATGTGCTCTTCTCTCTCGCAGAGGCGTACCTGTTTGCGCAGCTTGTGGAGTTCAAGGACGCTTTCCCTGACCGGATTCCGTCCACCAGGTGAGACTGTGGGGAAGAAGGAACAAGGAACTCCCGACTTTGTGCTCTCATCGACACGCTGTTTTCGCTCGCAGAGGCGTACATGTTTGCGCAGCTTGTGGAGTTCAAGGACGCTTTCCCTGACCGGATTCCGTCCACCAGGTGAGGGCGAGGGGAACAAGGAACAAGAAAACCCGCTTTGTATGCTCATCAACAAGGGGTCAGGGGTCAGGGGTCAGGGGTCAGGGGTCAGTGGTCAGGGGTCAGTGGTCAGGGGTCAGTGGTCAGTGGTCAGGGAACAGGTGCTAGGGATGATGAGCTTGCACGCACGATGCCTGCACGACGGGTAAGTGAAAGGGGAGAATGGTTGGGCTGGGAGCGGTGGTGGGGGGGGGGGGGGGCGGGGCTGGGAGCAATGGTGGGGTGTGGAAAGGGTGCTGTGTGGGGAGTTCTGCTCATCGACACGCTGTCCTCTCTTGCAGAAGCGTACGTTTTTGCAGGGCTAGTGGAGTTGCAGAATGTGGGGGTTTCTGACCTGATTCTATCCTCCCTCTTCTTCCCCTCATCCCATTCCTGCCCGGCAGCTATGCGGCCATGTACCGGGACGTGCGGGCAGCAGTGGACCTGTGCCACAGAGACGAGTCTGTAGTCGCCCCCCAAACGTCCCTCCGCTTCCCCCTCCCCCCCGCACCCCTTCCCCCACGCTTTCCCCCCCCCTCCCCCCCCCCCCCCCCGCCCCCAACTCTCCATGCCAGCTATGCTGCTATGTACCGGGACGTGCGGGCAGCAGTGGACCTGTGCCACAGAGACGGGACGCTCAAGAACGCAGTTGCCAATGACCCCGCCAGGTGAGTCTTGTGGGGACACGGGTGTACCTTGTAAGACGTAAGGTAACCAAGAACCAGGGCGAGGCGGATCAGAGAGAACAGGTGAGGGACGTGCGGGCAGCAGTGGACCTGTGTCACAGAGACGGGACGCTCAAGAACGCATTTGCCAATGACCCCGCCAGGTGAGCCGAGCCGAGCGCGTAAGGCGCAAGGCGCCAAGCATGAGGCGCGTAAGGAGCGAAGCGCAGAGCTGCAGGCGTAGGTCGCAAGGTGCAAGGAAAGGAGTGAAACGCAAGGCTCTAGGCGCAAGGTTGTCGGCACAACGGGGGCCAGGGGAAAAGGGGGGAGGGGGGGTTGAGTGGGTTTCGGTTCAAGGCCTTTGAAGACTCGTTGATTCATTCGTTTCCGTGTGGTCACCCTCGTGCATGGTCAAGGGACAACGACCTTGTCCCACCTTGATTCAGATGCTACGACTGTTTGAGACGTTTCAAAATCCCCCTTCTCCCCTTTCTGACCCTGCTCCTCTTGCTCCCTTTGCCGTCCCTTCTCCTCCCACGTGCACGGCGGCAGGTACATCAAAAGGGGCGACGAGCTACTGCGACTGCTGGGACGTCAGTCAACTCCTCTTTTCCCCCTCGTCTCACCTGCCCTCTCCTCCCCCGTGCATGGCGCTGCCAGGTACATCACAAGGGACGACGAGCTGGTGGACATGCTGCAGATGCTGCGGGACTCGGGCCGAAAGACATTCCTCGTCACCAACAGGTGATTTCTTAGGCGCCCAAAAGATCGTCTCTTGTCCCGCGGCGCTTTAGAGGCGCCTCAAAACCTGCAGATGCTATGGGACTCTGAACAATGTTCCTCATTACGTTTGCCTCGCTGCCTCACTACCCTCTTCTGCTGCTTCCATCACCCACCCTCACTGTCTTGGCTTGTCCCACCTCTTCATCTGCACTTCCCCCCTTCCTCTTCTGCATGGTGCTGCTTCTGTTGCCCGCGGCCCACCCGCGCACTCCTGCTTCTCTCTGCCTCCTCTTCCGCTCCTCTCCCCTTCTCCCATTTCCCATTCCGCTGCACAGATACACTCTCCTCCACTCTTGCATCGTCCTCCCCATCCGTGCACATTCGTTCCGAGTCACACATCTTTCCTCACTCCCTTCTCTCTTCGTCCAATCGTCTGTTCCCACGCGCACCCACATGGCATGGCAGTCTCTGGGACTACATGCACGTGGTGATGAACTACCTGGTGGGCTGTAGGACTACACATTTTTTTTTTCAACCCTTCCTCTGTACGTCTGCTTCCTGCATCCTGTCTGTTCCTCTCACCCCTCCTCCCCGCATATGACAGCCTGTGGGACTACACGCACGTGGTGATGAACTACCTGGTGGGCAACTGTAAGACTCACATCGTCGCTCACCCCTCCCCACTCCACCCCACCCGACTCCACACACCCGCATGGCAGTCTCTGGGACTACACGCACGTGGTGATGAACTACCTGGTGGGCAACTGTGGCACACGGCACGGCAAGCCTCGGGATTACTCCTGGCTCTCGCTCTTCGACCTTGTCATCACGGGCAGGTGTGTGGGTGGCTGGGTTCCAGGTGGGGGGCTGCTTTTGAGTCTCCTTTTAAGGGGACTGGGCTCATGGCATGGCAATCTCGGGATTACGCTTTGTTTTTGCTCTCATCATGGAAAGGGAGGGAGGGAGGGTGGGTGAGTTGGTGGATGGGTGGGTGGGTGGGTTGGTGGGTGGGTGGGTGGGTGGGTTGGTGGGTGGGTGGTCTTGCTCTTGTCTGTTTCCTCACGCACTCGTCTCACCCTCTCACCTCGCCCTCTCATTTCCATCGACATGTATGACGCACCTTTCTTTCGCCTCCCCCGCACAGTGCGAAGCCGGGGTTCTTCCTGAACACGCACCGGGCGCAGATATATGAGGTGGACATTCGCTCAGGCATGCTGTTCAACACTGATAACGGCAGTCCCATGGCCCAGGTGAGAGGGAGGAGAGGAAGGGGGGGGAGGGAGGGAGGGCAAGCTGCATGACCCAGGTGCACCGCCAACGGCAGCCCGATGGCTCACAGATATACGAGGTGGACACATTTGCTGAGGCATGCTGTTCAACACTGATAACGACAGCCCCATGTCCCAGGTGAGAGGGAGGTGAGACGTCTCAAAACAGCAAGCAAGGGAGCAAGCGAGGGGACAAGCAAGGGGGCAAGCAAGCTGTATGACCCAGCTGCACCGGGCGCAGATATACGAGGTGGACACATTCGCTCAGGCATGCTGTTCAACACTGATAACGACAGCCCCATGGCTCAGGTGAGAGGGAGGCAGCGAGGGGGGCAGGCAAGGCGGCAAGCAGGGGGCAAGCAGGGGGCAAGCAGGGGGCAAGCAGGGGGCAAGCAGGGGGCAAGCAGGGGGCAAGCAGGCTGCAAGGCGCAGGGAAGGTGAGGGATTGGGGTGGGAGGGCCTGATGCATCCCCATTCCCATCCCCATCCCCATTTACCCTACCCTGCCTTGTTCGCGCGTCCATGTACCATGCCTTTCAACCCACACACTGTGTCGCCATCTCTTGTTACCCTGCCCGAGCTCTGTAGGTGGGCGATAAGGGTGACACCACTACGGCTGTGGCACAGTGTGCAGAGCTGCTTTGTTCGTGCGTGCATGTACCGTGTCTTGTTACTCACACACTGTGTCGCCATCTCTTGTTACCCTGCCCGAGCTCTGTAGGTGGGCGATAAGGGTGACACCACTACGGCTGTGGCACAGTGTGCAGAGCTGCCTTGTTCGTGCGTGCATGTACCGTGTCTTGTTACTCACACACTGTGTCGCCATCTCTTGTTACCCTGCCCGAGCTCTGCAGGTGGGCGGTATGTCTGACACGATAGCTGTGGCACAGCATGCGGAGCAGTCACAGCAGTGCAGAGTGTTCCAAGGGGTTTTTGAGGCACATATAAAACCGTCTCCATTTCACCCTCTGCCCATCCCCATCAGGTGGGCGGTATGGGAGACGCCATAGCTGTGGCACAGCGTGCGGAGCAGTCACAGCCGTGCAGAGTGTTCCAAGGGGGCAGTGTGGCGCACCTACACGGCATGCTTGACATTGCTGCTGGCGCACAGGTGCATATGAGAGAGGGAGGGGAATTGTGTTTTGTGTTCATACATAGTCTGCACAGGTAGCCATGCAGAGCGTTCCGAGAGGGCAGTGTGGCACACCTACATGGCATGCTCGGCTGCTGGCGCATAGGTGCGAATCGTAGGGTGGATGGAGGGGAAGGGGACCTGTGCTCTGTGTTGTTGGAGTAGGCTAGAGCTCGCTCTGGTCTTTATTTTGGTGTTCTTATATTATTTCTCCATGCTTAGAGAGCGTTACGCATTCAGGTTCATTTTAGGTTCATTTTGTAGCTTTTAGTACAAACCGAACACACCCTAGGTTCAATTAGGGTTTCCAACCATCTCTCTTTTGTACCTCGACATTTCTCTTCCTAGTTCAACTTTTCGACCCTACCTAACTCTCTCGCCATCCATGGCTCCTCTCATCTTAACATGGTATTCAGAGCGTAGTCCTAGGCGTTTCATATTCATCCGCATTTCTTAGATAATCTCCGGCCCTTAGGCCGTATTCCGCGCTACTTAGCTATACGATTTTTTTTTTTTTTTCCCTTTCCTCTCGTTTCTTTCCCGTCACTCTTAGCATCCGCGCGGTTCTCTTCGTTATACTCGCTCGGGTGCCCTAATCTAGTCCGAAGCGCGCCTCCCTACCGTTCAGATCATCCGTCCGCACCTTCCCTCTTCATCACGCTTCCTCCTCCTCACGTTTCGGACGGTAGCACGGCGATTTCCGCCTGTAGCGCGCTCAGCCGTCCCCTCCCCCCTCCCTGTCTCGTCGCGCGCGCATTGCGCTCCTGCCGCCGCGCGCGCTAAGCACCGTCCAGCAGCGCGCGCGCCTGCCCTTCCTTGCGGTGCGCTCTGCCCTTCCTCAATCCGCCCCTTCCCTCACCCTCCTCCTCCTTCCCTCTCTCCTTTGTGCTTCCCCCAATACCTCACCTCTTCCTCCTCCTATTTTCTCTCCCCATCTGCTGCGGCTCGTAGCTCCTTGTGGCGCGCCCTGCCCTTCCCACAATCCGCCCCTTCACCCTCCTCCTCCTCCCCTCTCTCCCACTAGTTCCCTCTCCACTATCTCACCCCTCCTCCACCTCTTTTCTCTCTTCATCTGCTGCAGCTGGTAGCTAATTGTGTTGTGTAGCTGTTGTTCCTCCACACCTTCCCTCCTCCTCAACATCCTCCTCTCAACTGCTCAACTGCACACTCTTCCCAATTCTCCCTCCTCCTCTTGTTTCTCCCTTCAGCGGCACAGCAGCAGACTTCTCCGCCGCTATCCCTCCTCCTCTGGTTTCTCCCCTCATCGGCGCAGCAGCAGACTACTTCGCCATTTTCCCTCCTCCTCTGGTTTCTCCCCTCATCGGCGCAGCAGCAGACTACTTCGCCATTTTCCCTCCTCCTCTGGTTTCTCCCCTCATCGGCGCAGCAGCAGACTACTTCGCCATTTTCCCTCCTCCTCTGGTTTCTCCCCGCATCGGCTCGGCAGCAGACTACTCTGCCACTTTCCCTCCTCCTCTTGTTTCTCCCCTCAGCGGCTCAGCAGCAGACTACCCCGCCCTTATTCCTCCGCCTCTTATACCTCTCCCCACATCTGCTCTGCAGCTGTTTCCTCCTCCTCATGGCGACCTCTCTCGCCCTCCCCTCCCTCCCTCTGCTGGTCCTTCAGCTTGCGCCCGATAGCAGTGCAGTCAACTTCCCTAGTTGGCTGAACTGTCTTGAGCGCACGCTGTCTGGCACCCTCGTGAGTGGCTTTAACCTATGGTTTGTCACTCAGCAGAGTGGTTCTGGCGCCATTCCCACCTCTCCCTCTGGACCCACCTCTTCCTCCTCTGACCCCTATGCTGATGGCCTCCGTGCTGCCATTGCTGAAACTGAGCGGCTTGTGACCACGGCGCAAGCCACCGCCACGGCTGCTCCTGACAATGCTGCTGCCCGTGACTTAGCTCGTATTCTTGCTGAGTCCCTCGAGAGCACCCGCAAGCGCCTCACTGAGCACCTCGCTGCCCCTTCTCCTCGCTCTGCGTCTACGCCCATTTCCTCTGCTCCGTCTCACTCTGACCTTCTCGCTGACTGGCATGTTGCCAACGCACGTGCCTGTCAGGTCATCCTTGCCTGCCTCCCTCCAACTCTTCTCCCTCAGTGCTCGCACATCCGCTATGCCAAGGACCTTCTCGGCTATCTTACCGAGCGCTTCCAGTCGCAGACTCCTATCAGTGTCATTGCCCTCTTACGCGAGCTCACCTCTCTTCGTCTTGCTGACTTCACCACCATGGCGGACTACATCGCTCGTGTGCAGACGCTGTCCTCCCAACTTGCCTCTCAAAAGTTTGAACTTTCCGATCATGTGTGCGGTGCCCTCCTCCTCACAGGCCTCACTCCTGAATACAGTGTTCATGTCACTCTGTATGGTGAGCGCCCTGCCGACCAGTGGTCATTCTCTCGTGTCTCTGCCTTCCTCCTCCAGGCAGAGCTCAACCTCCGCAGCTGCCCTCCTACTGTCGCCGCTGTCACACCCGCTTCCGCCCCCCCCCCTCTCCCACCTCCATTGTCGCCGCTGCTTCCTCTCGCCCTCGCAACACCTTTCCTCCTTGCACCTACATCATTCGCCAGGGGCCCCGCAAGGGTCAGCCCTGCGGTCGCACCAATCATCCCACCTCCTCCTGCTTCCAGAAGCTCACCGATGACTGGTTCCTGGCTGGCAACACTGGTCGCCCTCCCAATTGGCTTCAACTCTCTCGTCAGCGTCGCCAGTCTTCTGCTCAGGCGGTACTTGTGGCTGCCGACTCTGGTACCAGTGCTCAAACCTCTGCTCTCAGTGTGACTATGCCTAGTCAGGATAGCATTCTGGGGGCTTCTCCCCTTATGGACCCTCGTTTTGCCATGATGTTTGCTCCTTCTGTTAATGGCAATGATTCTCAGTATCTTCGTCCCACAGCTGCTGCTCTTTCTCTCCCTCACACTCTTGAGTTTGTTCTTGACAGTGGTGCCACTGACTCTGTTTTTTGTGACGCTGGTGTGCTTCGCTCTTTTCCCCATCCCCTCTCCATTCAAGGAGCTGGGGATACGATGACCATGACTTGCACTGCTACCTCCTCTCTTCCCTGTCCTGCCTCCCCCTCTGGTGCTGTGACTGGCCTCTATGTCCCTTCCTGCCGCCACAACCTTCTCTCTCTCTCTGCTCTTCAACGTCTTTGTGTGCGAGCTATCTTTCCTGAATGTGACTCCTATTGTGATCTCTATCATCGCAACCGCCATCTTGCACGCTTTACTCTTTCCCCTATCACTCGCCTCTACACTCTTCGTGTCTCTCTCCCCCCTTCTGCCCATCATGCCTCTTCCGCTTCCGCCCCTCCCGTTCCTTCTTGCGACTGTCGTTCTCTCACTCAACCTACCCTTCTCCTCCATCATCGGCTTGGCCACCCCAATTTTCCCCTTCTTCGCAGTATGGTCTCCTCCAAGCTTCTTCATGGCCTCCCTTCCTCTCTCCCTCCCCTTCCTCCCTCTCCTGCTCCTCCATGCACCCCATGTGTCCAGGCCAAATTATCCCAGTCACCCCATCCCTCTTCTCCCTCTGCCTCTCCCCAACCCCTTGACCTTGTTCATATGGACCTCTGGGGTCCTTCACCTACTGCTTCTCGTCAGGGTCATCGCTACTTTCTGCTTTTGGTTGATGACCACTCACGATTTGCCACTGTCTATCCCCTCCGTGCCAAATCTGACGCTCCCTCCCTCATCATTCGCTGGGCTGAGCAGGCTCGTCTACGCTTTAAGCGTCCTGTCACGCGCTTCCACTCGGATGGTGGTGGCGAATTCTTTAATCATTCTCTCTCCTCTTACTGTGCCTCTCATGGCATTCGCCAGACCTCCACTCTTCCTCACTCACCAGAACAGAATGGGATTGCCGAGCGTCGCAATCGCACCCTCATGGAAATCACTCGCTGCCTTCTCACCCATGCCTCTGCTCCCCACTCTCTTTGGAGCTATGCTCTCCTCCATGCCACTCTACTCTCTAACCTCCGCCCTCATCCTCTTCGCCCTACTACCACCCCCTTCCAGCTTTGGACTGGCCGCCAGCCCTCTGTTCGCCCTCTTCGGGTCTGGGGGTGTGTCGCCCATGTTCTTGTCAATCCAGCAGACCGGTCCCGTCAGGGTGGGAAGCTCGCTCCCAAGACGCAGCTCTGTGCATTCCTTGGCATCAACTCTGACTGTCCTGGCTATCTTTTCTATGCCCCTTCCTCTCACCAACTCATCCGCAGCCAGGACGTCATTTTCGATGAGACTCAATCCCCATTCCATTCCCCCCCACCCGCCCCTCCTGTCCCCTCTCTTCACTGGTCTGATTTCGATCAGCCGCCGTCTGTCCTTCCCTCCCCTCCCCCCCCCCCCCTCCTAACCCGCCCCTTCCCGCCCCTCCCTCTGCGCCAGCCTCTACTGCCCCCCCTTCCGACATCATCTCTGGCGCCTCCCCACCCGCCTCTTCCTCTTCGGCTCCCCTCCCTTCCTCACTTCCATCTTCCTCTCCACCTCCTTCGTCTGTTCCCATTCCCCCCCCTTCCCCACGCCTTACTCGCTCCATGACTCGCGCACTTTCTAATTTTCAGCACTCTGCTCTTTTCACTCGTCTTTCTCCATCTCAGAATGTTACTCTTCTTGAAGATCGCTTTGAGGAGCTCTTCAACATTCATCCTGTTTCTCCTCTCCTGTGTGTCACCGTTGGTGACTATAGCAATTCTCCCACTCTTCTCTCTGTCGACACCGCTGCCATCCCCACCCCTCAGTCCTACTCCGAGGCTGTGTCGGGCTTTCATGCCACTGAGTGGATGGCTGCCATCATTGCTGAGTGTGAGGCATTCACCAGAACTACTTCATACATTGACTCTGTTCCCCCCCCTGGCGCCACCATTGTCAAAGGCAAATGGGTCTTCCGTGTCAAGCAGCTGCCCGGCGAACTTCCTGTCTTCAAGGCCCGCTACTGTGCCAAGGGGTTCACTCAGCGTGAAGGCATTGATTACTTTGCCACTTACTCCCCCACAGCCCGTCTCCCCACCCTTCGCCTCCTTCTTGACTTAGGTGCTCGCTGGAATTGGGAGATCCATTCTATGGACGTTTCCAATGCTTTCCTCCAGGGCGAGCTGCATGAGCGCATATTCCTTGAGCGCCCCGCTGGCTTTCCTCGCTCTTTCCCTCCAGGCACGGTTTGGGAATTGAAACGACCTGTGTATGGCCTTAAACAGGCCCCACGCGAGTGGCACGCCAAGCTCGCCTCCACCCTTCACTCTCTTGGCTTCTCTACCTCCACCTCCGACCCCAGTCTCTTCATTCGCACATCCCCCCACAGGCTTTACATCCTTGCCTATGTGGATGATTTGGTGTTGCTTGCTGAGGACTCCGCCGATCTTGCAGCTGTCAAGAAGGCCCTGCAGGCGCGTCTCCTGTGCAAGGATCTTGGCGAGCTTCGTCACTACCTCGGCATGGAGATCCGTCGTGATCGTGCTGCCCGCACCATCTCTCTCTCCCAGTCTTTCTATATCCAGTCCATCCTCCAGCGGTTTGAGATGTCGCAGGCCAAGCCGGTCTCCACCCCTCTTCCCGCTAACCATCAACTCACTGCCCCTGCCGTCCCTGCTCCCTCCTCTGAGCTGCGGCCTTATCCTGAGCTCGTTGGATCTCTCATGTATGCTATGATGTGCACTCGCCCCGACCTTGCTTACCCCCTCAGTGTTCTCTCTCGCTTTGTTGGTCTAGGCCGCCACACTGACGTGCACTGGGCGGCTGCTAAGCGCGTCCTGCGCTATCTGCGCGCCACCTCTGACCTTGCTCTCACTCTTGGTGGCTCTGTTCCTCCCGTTCTCTCCGGCTACAGTGACTCTTCCTATGCTGACTCCCGCCCTGATCGCCGCTCCTCTCAGGGCTATGGTTTCACTCTTGGCAGTGGTCTCATAAGCTGGCGCTCTACTCGCTCATCCTCTGTCTGCCTTTCCACCTGTGAGGCTGAGTTGTACGCAGGCACCTTGGCAGCTCAGGAGGCTCGCTGGCTCTCCTTTCTCCTTGCTGAGCTTGGTCACTCTCAGTCTTCTGTGACGCTCTCCTGTGACAGTGCGAGCATGATTCATCTCACTGAAAATCATGTCTATCACGCCCGCAGCAAGCATATCGAGGTCCGTTATTTCTTTGTGCGCGAGCTGGTGCAGGCTGGTTTCTTACGTCTGCGCAAGGTGGACGCTGCTGCCAACCTTGCTGACATTTTCACCAAGGCCCTCTTGCGTGCGCCTCACCGTTTCTACGTGCGCGAGCTTGGGCTCACGCGTCTCTCCACTTCTGGGGGTGTGCCGGTTCGCTAGGTGTTTTGCTCCAGAGCTTCACCTAGCCTGGGGGTGTGTTGGAGTAGGCTAGAGCTCGCTCTGGTCTTTATTTTGGTGTTCTTATATTATTTCTCCATGCTTAGAGAGCGTTACGCATTCAGGTTCATTTTAGGTTCATTTTGTAGCTTTTAGTACAAACCGAACACACCCTAGGTTCAATTAGGGTTTCCAACCCTCTCTCTTTTGTACCTCGACATTTCTCTTCCTAGTTCAACTTTTCGACCCTACCTAACTCTCTCGCCATCCATGGCTCCTCTCATCTTAACATGTGTGACACAGGGTCAGCAAGGGTAGACGTGCCATGTGTTGTTCCAAGGGTTTGAAGAAGTGTTTTGAGACGTTTCAAAACACTCTGTGTGACACAGGGTCAGCAAGGGTAGATGTGCCATGTGTTGTTCCAAGGCGGCAGTGTGGCACACCTACACGGCATGCTTGACATTGCGGCAGGCGCACAGGTGCGAATCGTGCTTGGAGAGAAGAAGCAGTGACATTACATTCAGTTCAGAAGTCAGCAGGAGTAGCTGTGTTGAGAGTTGTTTCTTCCAAGGCGGCAGTGTGGTGCACCTACACGGCATGCTCGACATTGCAAGAAGGATTTCCAAGTTGACTAAAAAAATGTCAGCAGGAGTAGCCGTGCCGTGTGTTTTTTTAACCCAAAGGGGGCAGTGTGTGTGCGCACCTACTCCACATACCCCACATTCCTGCTCGCGCACAAGTGTGAAGGAGTAGAGGGGGAGGAGGCTGGGAGGCTGGGAAGAGGTGGGATGGGGGAGTGGAGTTTCTAGAGGACGGAAACGGTTGGGGGGAGGGGGAGGGGGAGGGGTGGGGTGGGGTGGGGTCGGGTGAAAAGTGAATCTGGGAGGGGATGTTGGGAGGGGGCAGGATGACAGGTCGTGGTGGAGGGGGCGAAGAGGTGATCGTGAGGTGAGGTTGGGGAGGGTCGTGAGTAGGGATGCAGTTGGGGTGATTGTTGTTGAGTGGTGTTTTCGTTGTAGAGAATGCAGTTGGGGCGATTGTTGTCTGGGTGGAGATTCACGGCAAGGGCGGATGGATGGATGGATTGATGTGCCTCCGATGGGAGTATGTGCTCATGGTTCCGTGCATGCATGCATTGATTTATGCTCGTTCTCCATCCCATGCATGTGCAGGTGCTCTATGTGGGCGACCATATCTTGGAGACATCCTTCTGAGCCCGATTCTCACCTCGTTTTGAGTCAACTCAAAATGCTTGTGTTCTCCCTTCCATGCATGTGCAGGTGCTCTATGTCGGCGACCATACCTTTGGTGACATCCTTTAGAGCCGACTCGAAAGTCATCTCATTAGAGCTGGTCATTCAAAATGATGATATTCTCCCTTCCATGCATGTGCAGGTGCTCTATGTCGGCGACCACATCTTTGGCGACATCCTTGAGAGCCGACTCGAAAGTCATCCCATTTGCAGTCCATTCAAAATGCTCATATTCTCCCTGCTTCCTATGCATGCACATGCAGGTGCTCTATGTCGGTGACCATATCTTTGGCGACATCCTCCGATCCAAAAAGTCCCTCGGTATGCTGCCATGGGTCATGGGATGGGGGTCACAATCTTTTGTCCGCCATGCTCCATCAATCTCCACGTTTTTCAACTCCATGTCACCACATACATTCAAGACTCTTATTTAGAACCACTTGCTATTTTCTGAAAGCAATCAAGACTCCTCCAGCCAACCACACGTGAGTGTGCCACGCCACCCCCTTTTTTCCCTCTTACCGTTGCTCGATCGATCCTCACTCTGCTCCTCACTCCTCCCACCTCTCCGTCTGTTCTTCATGAATGTGTGTGTGTGTGTGTGGCGTCATCCTGTATGAAATGACTCACATGCACTTGTGCATGTGTGTGTGTGCATGGGTCATCCCAGGATGGCGCACCATGCTAGTGGTCCCTGAGCTTGTGCGAGAGATTCATGTGCTCAAGGCCACTCTCGACCTTCGCCAGGTGACTTGCTGCTCTCTGCTCACTCCTGTGTATTGCCTCAAGCGCACATGCCATGACGCATAGCGTCCCTCCCTCGCGCTTGAGTGCATTATTGTGTGTGCGTGCAGCACGCAGGGTTGATTGAAGGACATGATCACATCCCGCTCCGCCTCCTCTCCCCCCTCTTCATCATTCTGCTCACGTTGCCTTCCTTCTGCTCAATCCATACCGATCCCCCTCTTCTATTTGTTTTCAACTGTTTGTTTTTTGTTTCATGCGCAACCCTTGCTTTGTGGAACATCCACCCCAACCCCCAACCTACCCTGCCCATGATCACCGACTGTTGAGAGCAGGCGTTTCATGACCTGCGACATCAAATCAACTCTCTCGATGGTGCCATGCAATGTCTTTTGAGCTCGACTAAATGAGCATCTTCTCTTCCCCATTGTCCATCGGTCACTACCTGTGCGAGCAGGCGTTTCATGACCTGCGGCATCAGATCGACTCTCTGGATGATGCCATGCAACGACTCAGCTGGGCCATCAGGTGATTAGCATTGCTGCCTGCACCATGTCATGCCATGCCATGCCACGCCATACCACGCTGCCATGTTTGTACTGTCTTTTCACAATACGTTGTCCCATTTCATCACATAGTTCAGCATTCCTTGCATGCCACAATGATCGACTGGCCCAACTGATGGCACTTTTTGTCAAGCCAGGCTGCAGCACTCACTCTTTTATGCAATGCCAGCTCATTCGAGGCCGGCGTGTGGCACCGCATTGTTGAATGCTCGTTGCTTGCTGATGCATGGGTGATCGCTTGTTGGGCTGCAGGTTTGAGAAGATGGACGAGGAGAAGAGGCAGCAAGTAGAGCAGGAAGTGTTGTCTCTGCAGGTGAGTTGGGTGCAGCTACGGGAATGCAGCCTCGGGGGATGGGGAGTGAGGTTCAGTGTGGGGGACGGGTGCAGCCTCAGGGGGTTTCTGCCTTGGGGAGTCGGCTAAAAAAGCCTGGCTTAGAGCTCTCTTGGCTCAAAACACATGCAGTTTGGGAGAGATACCCTTGAGGAGTGGAATCATTGAATTGATTGAACCTGAGCAGAGTCATGATACCTCAGCAGCACCTCGTGATGTGCGTGCTGCTTACTGATTGGCTTAAGAGCTTGGGTGTGTGTATTATGTCAGTGCATGAGGCGCCTCGACACCCGAAGAGTTTTATGAAGTGAGGAGTTGAGAGTGCTGTAGACCCATCTGTGCCCCAGGGTGTGCCCCAGGGTGTGCCCTAGGGTGTGCCCTAGGGTGTGTCCTACTCTTTCCCCTTGTGACTGTGTCATGAAAGTGTGTGATAGGTGCGATGTTTTCTTCATCTGTGAAGCTGTGAAAGGTTGAGTTTCAGATTGCCCAAGTAATGACATGTCAGAGACTGGTCACATGTCATGCCATGACATGCCATTGGCGTGTGTGTGTGTGTCTCTCTCTCTCTCTCATTCTCTGTGTTTCGCCCTGCCGGTGTGCAGGCTCAAAGGGAGGCAGCAGGGGTGCAGCGGCGGGAAACCATGCAGAGATGGCACCAACAAGTGAGTTCCGGAATGCACCAGCCATGCGGAGGTGGCACTTCACCATGTCTCTACTCCCGCCATCTCATTTTCTGACACCTTCCGGTTCCTTCTCTTAGAGGCACCATGCTCTTCCCCTTAGTGGGCATCCACCACATGTAGCATATTCTGGCATTCCATCACTACTTTGAATACATATGTATGTGTATGTGTATGTGTATGTGTATGTGTATGTGTATGTGTATGCTTATAATGTGTGCCCCTTCCTGTTCACACCCGCCCTCCACATGGCATCTGACTTGTGTGATGTGTGTGAACAGTTCCACCCAGTGTGGGGCCAGTTGATGAAGACTGGTTATCAGAACTCCCGCTTTGCTCACCAGGTCTGCTCCTCCTCCTCCTCCTGCTCTGCTATGAGCCTTTGTTTGTTCGTTGTTTTTCCCTGCATGCATTTTGCGGAGAGTGCCATGAAGTGACGTCTAGGTGGTTCTCACACTACCTACCTCCCACTCCTTCCTGGCTTTCGTTCTGACATCGGCTATTTGCTTCTCTTTTTCCCCATGTGTCCTATATTTTCTGCCTGGCATGACACAGGTTGAGCGTTTCGCCTGCTTGTACACCAGCCATGTTACCAACCTAGGCTATTATTCTCCGGACAAGAGATACCGCACATGCGAAGACTTTATGCCTCACGAATTAGACATTCTTGACATTTGATGACAAACTCGAGTTTCCTAGTCAAGTGACAAAGAAACTTACACACGAGGCAAGCCATGTGACTTCTGGTGTAACACTATGGATATCATATAACCTTGCATTGAATGTTTAGAGCGTGTTCCTACGGGCTCTAGTCAGGCTGGCCCCTTGTCAGACTCGCGTAAAACAGTAATATTTCAGCTGAAACCCGCTTCTTATTTTCTCATTTTTGTTGATTAGCGAATTGCGCTTCAATTTGCGTGGGTGACGTGGCACTGCGGAACGCCTTCGAAAGGTTGGAAAGGAACAATCGGCAGTCCTGACACATCAGAGGCGGTTGTAACGTGCATTTGGTTGCTGAAATTCCTTCGTCTGCTTCACATCCGACAAAGAAGGGTCATTTCATTTTTTTTTTTTTTTTTTTTTTTTTTTGGATGCAGAATACACTATGAAATGCATCATACCGTACATCGGCAGTCGTAACTGTAGCTGATGGGCCTAGGGGGTGTGAGCCCTCCGTACCCATCCTGAGCATCTAGGGAGGACGGAAGGCCGCCTTAGGATTGGACCAAATAGACATGAACCCCTGCGCCCACGTGGCAGGCTTCGTTGAGCTGTCAAGGACCCTGTCAAGAGCGCGGCGCTCTCCAACATCCAACCCAGGATGGGAGGCCCCGAGCTTCCGAGAGACTGCCTTGGCACGCTTGTAGATACGCACATGCAGCTGAAACGCCGATACAATTCTCCGCAAAACCCTTCTCGCCCGGAAAGTGCTTCTCTCAAACACTTCGTCACACCTCTCCACCCATATACGATGAAGCGCAATAGCCGTGAGTGTAGCCTCGGGAAAACCCGAAGCTGTCCCCTCGCTTTGGAAGATAAGGTCCCCCAGTGACTCAATCTTCCGCCTCGGATTAAGCATTCGGAGCGCCTTCAGCAACGTTCGGACCACCGGCTGGATGCGCGGACAGAGGAAAAGACCATGCTCCAGCGTCTCCTTTTCTCCGCAGTGCGGGCAGGCAACCCCAGCGCCCAAGAAGTGCAGGCGCTCCCCCACTTGAAGATTCCGGCTGTGAATCCGGAGCATGACGTCCCGCGCCCGGTTCGGCAGGACATCCGAATCACGTACACCAATCACTCTTCGCCAGTCAACCTGCTTCCCCAGCACGTCCTCCCATGCCTCCTGCTGCTTAGGCTTACCACCGTGCTTCACAAAACCCTCCTTCAGCTGTTTGTGGAGCACCGGGCCATCCCCCGACCAGATCGGCGAACACAGCAGCTTCGTCCTGGGGGCACCAACAGGACCGAGGAACCGCTCTCCCCTGACCTCAGCGGGCGTCACTTCGTGCGGTAGGAAGGTGCAAACCTTCTCCCCAGCGTCCTCCAGAATTCCCCAAAAGCAACCAACTGCTCGGCAGACTAGGGTTTCCCCCTCCACCCCTTCAATTCTCCAGACGCCATGGCTAGACCCCGCTTTCAGCACGTACTTCGATCTCGCCAGCACCGTACTTGCCGTGACCTGAGCAAGCAGGAGCTGCTTCCACTCATCAGGTGCCGCATCAAAAAGCCTCTTCGCCAGCCGCGCCCCTGCCACGCCGCCGAACTCCTTTTCAAGCGCCTTCGGATCCTTCAGAGCCCCAGAACCGTCAGGCGCCACAACAATTAAGTCCCGCATGGATGACCTTTTGAGATGCCTCGCCGCCTTTTACTTCCTCGCAGGCGACTTTCCATTCAGCAGCAGCTGGCGGTTAAAGAGGAGGAGTTCTTGCTCCACTTCCCAGCATGAGGTAATAGCGATGCTCGCCGGGAAACTCGATTCCAAGAAAAGCTCGCAGGTACGTTTCCATATGCTCCGTCCGCTCCACTGCTTCATAAGCCCCGCATGTGCCCAAAAAACTTGCAGATCAGGAACATCCAGCGCGGCTAGCGCCAAATCCGCCCGCAAACCTGTCAAACATATATCTATGTTTATAGTTTGGGTAGGCTTAGTGGGGTACTCACAGTGGGGTACAACCCCTTAGGTTTCTCCTTTGTACCAATCCTCTCGATAGTCAAAACATCATCCTTGCCTAAGACTCTAACATGGCATCTAGAGCATAGGTCCTTAGGACCTAGGATTAGGGCCCACCGTTTACTTTTTTACCTACCTCACGTGCCTACCTACCTTGCCTACTGCCCGCGCGCGCCTCGGCTGTACGCGCGCGGCCCCTTTTTTGTTTTTCCCGCGCGCGCCTCTTAAGCAGCCCGCGCGCAGCCCGTTTAGGCCCGTTTAGGCCTGTTTTCGGCCCCGCGCGCCACGTCAGCCGCCCGCGCAGCCTGCCGCCGGCCCGTGCGTCGCGTGAGCCGCCCGCGCGCAGCCCGCTTAGGCCCTGCGCGCCGCATCCGCCGCCCGCGTAGCCCGTTTTTCGGCCCCGTTTTAGCCTGCCGCCGGCCCCGCGCGTCGCCTCCTCCGGTGACGGCGCGCTGCCCCCCGTCGCCCGTCACGGCGCCTGTGGGACCCGCGCGCTGCCCTGCAACAGCTACGCCGCCCCTGGAGCAGCCGCCCCTGGACCCAGAGCAGCCGCCCCTGGCCCCTGAAGCAGCCGCCCCTGGTGCAACCGTCCCTGGACCCTCGAGCGCCGCCCCTGGACCCAGAGCAGCCGCCCACGGCCCCTGCAGCAGCCGCCCCTGGAGCAGCCGCCCCTGGACCCCGAGCAGCCGCCCCTGGAACTTGAAGCAGCCGCCCCGGGTGCAGCCGCCCCTGGACCCAGAGCAGCCGCCCCTGGCCCCTGAAGCAGCCGCCCCTGGAGCAGCCGCCCGTGGACCCAGAGCAGCCGCCCCTGGCCCCTGAAGCAGCCGCCCCTGGTGCAGCCGCCCCTGGACCCAGAGAAGCCGCCCCTGGCCCCTGAACAGCCGCCCCTGGTGCAGCCGCCCCTGGACTCCGTGCAGCCGCCCCTGGACCCAGAGCAGCCGCCCCTGGACCCTCGAGCCCCGCCCCTGGACCCAGAGCAGCCGCCCCTGGCCCCTGCAGCAGCCGCCCCTGGCCCCTGAGACAGCCGCCCCTGGTGCAGCCGCCCCTGGACCCTCGAGCAGCCGCCCCTGGACCCAGAGCAGCCGCCCCTGGCCCCTACAGCAGCCGCCTCTGGTGCAGCCGCCCCTGGACTCCGTGCAGCCGCCCCTAGACCCGCGAGGCCGCCACTGGGCCCCGTGCAGCCGCCCGCCGAGCGCCGGCCCTGCTCGCCCGGCGAGCGCCTTCTCTTTCCGCCACTGGTGAGCACCTGCCTTGTTTGCGCGCTACCGCGCCATCTGCCTGTCTGCCTGCCTGCCTGCCTGCCTGCCTGAATGATGGCCTACCTGCCTGCCTGCCTGCCGCGCCTGCCCTGCACGCGCTGCTGCTGCTACTACTACTATTACTGCTGCTACTACTGCTACTGCTGCTACTGGCGGTGGCCAGATGCAGCTCCAGCGACGTCCGCATGAGTCCCTCACGCCCCAGCAACTTAGTGAGTGGTACGCTAGTTGGGGTTGTAGGGGTGGTCGCGCTGCTACTGCTACTACTGCTGCTACTGCTGTTACTGCTGCTACTGCTGCTACTACTCCTACTGCTGCTACTGGCGGTGGCCAGATGCAGCTCCAGCGACGTCCGCGCGAGTCTCTCACGCCCGAGCAGCTTAGTGAGTGGTACGCTAGTTGGGGTTGTCGCGGTAGCCGTAGTAGCTGTCGCCTTGGAGCTGGTCAGTTGGGAGCGTCTGGCCGTGGCCAGCTGCAGCTGCAGCGGCGTCCACGCGAGACACTTACGCCCCGGCAGCTTCACGAGTGGTACGCTCAGAGTAGAGGGTCTTTGAGTACCGTTCGCTGCCCGTACATCATTCGCACAGGTGATCGCACTGGTCAGGCTTGCGGGACGCTTGGTCACACACAGTCCCGCTGCTTCGCCCGTCTGAGTGACGCCTGGCGTACCGAGTTTGGCGACGAGGCTGAGCTCCCCGACTGGGTGGAGCTGCTTGGGCAGAGGGTAGATATATTTGCTCTTGACTATGATGCTATTCTCACTGCCATGTATGCATTGCCTACTAGTGCTGACCGTGCCTGTTACCTGTTCGTACCGCCTGACCCAGGTATAGAGCCTGCCGCTCCAGGAGCTGGTGAGTCTGCTCTCTCTCGTACCGCGCCTGCTGAGGCCTTGTACACCTTCACACTTGACTCTGGTGCTTCTCGCTCCTTCTTTCGCGACAGCACCACCCTCACGCCGCTCAGTCGGCCAGTTCCAGTCTCCCTGGCAGACCCCTCTGGGGGTCCAGTCCGTGCGACCTCCTCCACTGTCCTCCCTTGTCCTGCTGTCCCGTCCGGCACACTGTCGGGTCTTTACCTCCCCTCGTTCTCTATCAACTTGGTGGCGGGTTCTGCGCTCCAGGACGCGGGTGTTCACCAGTTCACCCCTGCCTACGAGCGTGTGACACACTGCACATGTGCTCAGACGGGTCGTCACCTGGCTACCTTCACTCGGCAGCCTGGGTCGGGCCTGTACACACTGACCACTGAGTCCCCTCAGGTAGCTGCGTCTGCGTCTGCGTCAGGTCAGTTGTCGGCCCCCTGCTCGTGTCGCGCCTTGTCGCACCAGACGGTCCTTTGGCACCACCGCCTTGGTCACCCCTCGGTGCAACGCCTTCGCAGCATGCACCGCCGGGTCCTTGTCTCTGGTCTTCCC